GATAAATATTCTTATGGGAAATCGAATGCTCTACAAAAAAAGTCTTTTATCATTTTTGGCTAAATTCACCCCATCAAAAGTTATTCAAGGTTAAATTTGAAGTCAAAACGAAATTTTAACCATGAATAACTTTTGATTTAGTGAATTTAGCCAAAAATGTTTTTTTGTAAAGCATTTGATTTCCCATAAGAATATTTTTTATGGGTACTGATTTTTACATGAATAGTTTTACTATACCAATTTTTTGGCGCCCATCCAAATTTTATATCCTAATATCCTATATGTATATATTTTAAGACGAAGATAATATTCCAAGAGATTTCTTATTGATACACGAACATTTTTGTACAATTTGCAAAATCCGACACTTAAATTTCACTTATTATAGTTAGTGTTTCTTCACAACTTGACTTCGTCCTATTTCTCTTTTACATAAGGTCAAATTGCGCAACAAATTTAACGACAAGTTCATAGAATGGCATGCACATTGTTGCAGAATAACCTAAACAACATCCTTTTAATCGAATAGAATAATTATGTAGTTGCAAATTAAAAGTAAAATTTCGACAGAAAAAAAACTTGTTTTCTTAGAGGTTATTTTAAGGTATACTTTTCAATGTAGGTACGACTTTTTGACTTGGTGTGTGTGATTTTCTATGCATAGAAGAGCATGCTCTTCTTTGTTCAATTTATATTATTGTATTTATTGAGTTGAGTCATTTTTAAATAAATAGGTAGTTTTTTTACAAAAGTTTACAAAAGAGAGGAACGCAGAAGTCTTACTCGACAAATTTTGTTCAATTGCACAGCTAAATCTCGCACGTTATTTGTGTTTTACGTTGCAAGGAAAAAATTAAAAAACTTATAGTATACTACCTATAGGGGTGACGTTCATAATATCGAAATTCACTTTATCGAATTCAAAATATCGAACACTTTTTATCGAAGATCAAAATATCGAAAATACAAAATGTCGAAAATCAAAATATCGAAAATTAAAATGTCGAAAATGATAATATCGAAATTTTATTTAATCGAATTTTCAATTTATCGAAAATAAAATATCGACGTTCATAATATCGAAATTCACTTTATCGAATTCAAAATATCGAACACTTTTTATCGAAAATCAAAATATCGAAAATACAAAATGTCGAAAATTAAAATGTCGAAAATGATAATATCGAAATTTTATTTAATCGAATTTTAATGTGAAACTAAACCATATTTTCTTATTTTGAATTTGATATTTTGTTTAAATATTTCAATTAATCGACATATTATTTTAATCCGAAGTGTATATGTATAGAGGCGCCTCTGATATAGAAATGTACTCAAACTCAACAACACAACCCAACCGACCCCGCCCCATTGGCCCCCCCCCCGCCCCATTGAGCAAAAAACCCAACTAAAATGGGCTAATTTATGTAATTAAAAAGTGTTTTATTTTTATCGTAACATGAATTTGCCCATTTTAGTTGGGTTTTTTGCTCAATGGGGCGGGGGGGGGGGCAATGGGGCGGGGTCGGTTGGGTTGTGTTGTTGAGTTTGAGTACATTTCTATAAAACGCGCATCTCTAGGAGCCAGGGAGCCAAGATAATTCGGTGCATAACCGTAACTTTATCTACAGAGGCGCCTCTGTACATATACACTTCGATTTTAATCATACATTTTAATTTTCGATATTTTTAAATCGATATTTTAATTTTCGAAATTTTAATTATTCGACATTTTCAAATCGACATTTTAATTTTCGATATTATCATTTTCGACATTTTCAAATCGACATTTTAATTTTCGATATTATCATTTTCGACATTTTAATTTTCGAAATTTTAATTATTCGACATTTTCAAATCGACATTTTAATTTTCGATATTATCATTTTCGACATTTTAATTTTCGATATTTTGATTTTCGACATTTTGTATTTTCGACATTTTGATTTTCGATAAAAAGTGTTCGATATTTTGAATTCGATATAATGAATTTCGATATTGATATTTTCGATTGATTATGCCTTAATATCATTATATCATTGATTAAGAAACTCAACGCTTGAATGCTTATATAGTTACGTTAGTGTGTGTATTTAATCTAAGGGATCATGGTGAATTATTGCGTTTTTAATTGTAAATAAAATTCAAGAACTAAATCGTTGCATTTTCATGTTTTGCCAAAGGATCCAATTCGGTAAGTACATTTGTTGGTGCAGAATTAACTAATGATAACTTTACCTAATATAATTTATATTTAAGTTTGGACATTTTTAAGAAATTAGTAAAAAATAATTTTTGCTCAAACATAACCTCAAAATCAACCCTTTTTATGTTTGAGTTCTCTAAAAAATGCCGACAACTGAATTTTAAACAACAAAATATACCTACGAATTCATGGCAAAATATTATTATATAGGTATGTTACGGCTAATGTGCAAACTAGCTGGATAGTTTATAAACTAGCCAAACTGTCAGCTATTTTAATTGAAAATGTATTTTCAACTAAATTAGCGGCTAGTTTACAAAATAATCAAGGATCTTGGCTAATTTACTTGAAATTATTAGGGAAACTAAAATAGCTGGATAGTTTGTATACTATCTAATTCAATTTGGCTAATATGAAAACCAAAATTTCTAGTATACTGTTATAACACAAAATAGCCAAGCTTTGTTGTAGCTAGTTTGTAAACTAACCAACTAATTCTCTGGCTAATTTCGTATAACGTCACAATTTTGACTTTAGCGGGATTTTATGAAAATTACGTTAATCATTACTAAAATGTATATTTATTGTATCTAATAGATACAATTTAGATTTACAGGGACTGTATGTTTATTTCTTTATTCGGATTAACACTGTTTTTGGAAAACCGATTAAAACTCAACCCAGGATTTCCTCTTGAAATACACCCAACAACACAACAAATCGTGCCACGTTTTTTTTTTCGATACCTATTTTTTAAAATGTTCCGGCTTTATTTTCAAAAACACTCGTTTGTAACACATGCGTTTGACAGCTGATTATCATAAGTTTTACTTTTGTTACGATAACAGCCGTGGTGGCACTACTAGCGATACTTCTTTTGGTATTTACCTATAAAAATAGAGTACCTAATAGAAATTAATTCTAAAAATATTAATTTTAACAAATTGTGACGCAATTTCAAAGAATGCATTATTGTTTACAAAGTGTTGTTTACAAAATGTAATGGAAAACGGAAATAAAAAAGGTTGCTAAAATACCTATAAGATACGTACTTAAATAAAGTACACGTGTGCACCACAACTGCAATTACCTACCTATAAAAAATTTGATTTTTGAACTAGGGTACCTATAGGTATACCTATAATAGGTAATAAAATAAAAAGATTAATTACCTATATTAATTATTAATAATTATAATTAATTTTTTATTTTATTACAACAAAAAATATACCTAACGTCAAAACAATGCAGAATAATAACAAACCTTCCACACTTCACCTACGCACAAAACTAGAAGGTGGGGAGAAGTCAAAACGCTGTCTATAAACGTGAGGCAAGATACAATCCGCGCCGACTAATCGTGCGCTTGCGCTTTTCATCCAAATTTAAATTTGCGGTTTTAAATTATATCGCTTAAATAATGAAGTATTATCTTTTTATGCAGTTAGTTAACAAACACTTGTATTTAAATATTTTATTTATTAACCTTTAAGGTTGTGTCAAATACCTAAGTTATTTAAAATAGAAAAGACTTTTTAATTAAATTATCACTTTGTTTAAACCATAAAGTTCAATAGATTTATTTTGATTTTTGTTGCCCAATTTACTTATTAGTTAGCATCTACTTGATCTTGTTTTTATATCATTTGTTATTTAAAAATGTATTGATTTTTATGGTTTAAAGTTAACATTTAAAACAGTGATAATTTAATTAAAATTGTCTTTTTTATTTTGCTTAAAAATATGCTGTTGTATTTTTTTTGTGGAATAAATAGAATAATATAACTTACCTACTCAAAATTAACCTAAATAAAATTGGGAATGTGTACAATAAAGAAAAATACCTTCTACTTTGCCCTTGTTGGTACAAAATGGAATTAAACACTTCATATTTATCTATTATAACGTTCGACAAACTATTAACCATTATAAAGTTTGACAAACAATTTGCACTAAATAACAAAGTACACAACTAGTGTTTATTCAGTTTTTAAACTCGAAAAAATCACACAAAATACAAGAAAACAAAACTAAATGTGAAAATTTTTGACAGACGTAAACAGTAAACTCAACAAGTTTTGATTAATACGCATGCGCCTCGTGCGTCGCTGGTTGTTGTATGGTGCCTCATATTTTTCCACGCGCATCCTATTTAAAGCGAGTTCTCCCCACCTTCTAGTTTTGTGCACCTACGTCGAACACGAAGCCAATTTTAATTTTTAAATATTTGACATCTGACGAATTTAACCTCACTTTTTCGCAATTTAAAGCAAATTTTGCTTAGCAAAATAAAGCCACTTTGGCCCGTGACTGAAATACCCAAAAGCCGATATTGCTAACTTTAGCCCGTAACTAAAACCTCATAACAGCTTGTGAGGAAGTAGATAAACCCGTTTAAATTTTTTTTTAGTCCTTAAATAAAATACCAATTTGGCAACCCTGCATGAAGATGTCATTTTAGCCCAGGCAACCTTGGTTATCTAAATAACCAGCTGTTCTGTAAAATTGCAATTGTGATTGCAATATGCAAATTATTCGATAAAAATGATGCTAAATAGGTAAGTGTTTTCAAAACATTGTTTAGTTTTTGAATATTAAAATAGATGGTCTAAAAATACGCTGTCATTGAGTTGGTTTAGTAACAGAAAACGCATTTATTGAATTTTATTCGCAATTAAAATTTAATAATTTCAGCAGTAAGTACCTAAATGCATATAAATTAAAGACATTAAATTTTGCAATTAACAACTTTCCTATACCCAGCCAAGTTTAATATTTCTTTAAATTCGCTTACCTTTTCCTTTTTTAACTGCGAAACTCAATCCGTCAAACTCGATGTCAATTTGTTTTGTTTGCAATAAAGGCGCTATAATTTTTCCGTCACCCATGTTGCTTTGATTTATAAATAATGCACTGTAAACCACTAAACACGCATAGGTAAATACGTAAATAAAACGAATACATGCACTAGCTTTCGACTGCCGCGACTAAACTGAACCGATTAGGAATTCGAATCGATTTATTTAATAATTGCGGACAGACCGGCCTGCAGTATCGATAAATTACGATCGAAATTAAGCCCGAAAAATCCGTAAAACACGGAATCTAGCAGCTCATCGTCGGAACCACAGAATGCCACTCTGAGAGTGGCCAGAACTTCGCCTGCTAGATGTTGTTTTTCGCGCGGCCGCCTGTCTTTTATTTTTCCTTTTATCGTTGAGCGAAGAACGGAGTAGGAAGGTAATAATAATAAATACAACCAAAATAACCACAGGCAACGAACAAAGTTAACTTGATTTGCAGGTACTTTAATTCGCTCTAAAAAACCGTAAATGTTGAAATACTGCTTTTTACACAATGTAATTTATGCCATTACTTAATTTTATGGTTTCCTTAATATTTATTCCAAATTTTAACCTTCCAGTCGATTTTTTCAGCCACAAGATTTTGTAAATTACAACACATAATTTCAAAATTTCAAAATTAATAATGGTTGTTAATTGTTAGATAAACGCATGAAAGTTTACACCTTTTTTACACGCATTATGGCATTTTTTACTCAAGGTCAAATAATTTAAGTTTTAAATCAATAAAAAAATTAAAAATAGATGTGGGTTTCTATTTCAATTGTTCAGTCAACGATAATGTTTGTGTGTGAACCTTTTTAAAATTAACACAATACAAATTTAATAATTTATAGGAAAAACAACTGGTTCTTTAACTTTTTAAAACTGTCTCGCCTTCAAAATTAAGTTATTATAATATATTCTTTGTTATTAATAACAGGAAGTTAAAATAAATCAACATTTTTGCCCATAATCATTTCGAAAAACCCTTCAATGCCAATTTTACCTTTAAATTTTTTTTAAAGTGATAAGATTAATTTTAGTTCATTTTGTACCAAGACAAAAAAATCTTTTTTTTTATTTGACACCAGTGGAAATCACCACCTATTTTTTTCTTTAAAAAAAATTAAATAAAAATAAAAACAATTAAGTTATTCCATTTGAAACAGACAGAAATATATTTTCATTTACAACAATTTAGAGGCAAATATATAGAGATGTAAAAAAACGGTTTTTTTCAGATGTGAAAAAAAAACATGAAAAAAACGGTTTTTTTTTTGTTTTTTTTTTCAAAATGAAATTTTAAGTAAAATGTAGAATATATTACATTTTTCATTATTGAAAATTTTGACCAAGACTAAAAAATCTGATTTCTTATTATTTGGTAGTTTCCACATTAAAAACCAATAGCAATGTAAAACTTCTACACTAATACAAAAAATAACTGTATATTTGTTAAAAATGGTCGTATTGGAGCCGTAAAAAAAGCAATTTTAAGCTTGAAGTTTATAGTTTTGAGATTTTTAGATGAAAAACGTGTAACGCTCAATTCTAACGAATGCCGTAATAAAAAAATCGATTTTTTTTATTTCTTTTTTGGTCCACGGAATGTTCTGACCACCAATGAAGAAATGTTCTACAAGAATTTGCTATTGTTTTTTGAAAAAAAAATTTCCATACTCCACATAAATTTGAAAATTCATGGAAAAAGTGCATGCTTTTGGTAGCTTTTTGAAAAATCAAGCGCTGAATCAAAAATATTATATGTAGTTACTTCTTTTAGAACCAAATCAAAACAAGCGCGGCCCTTATTGGTCAAATCGGTGGTTGTGGCGAGTGCATAACGCGAGACTGTATTTACATTTAATAATTGTCATTTAGTGGCTAATTTTAGTCCATGAAAACATAAAAAATTAGGCAAATGGGACTAATCTTGAAAAAAAACCTAAAATGTGAAAAAAAAACATTTGAAAAAAACAATGAAAAAAAACCTAAAAGAAAACAAAAAAACGGACCGTTTTTTTTCAAGTCGCATCTCTACAAATATATTGGTTTATTGTTACTTAATGCACTGGTGAAAATGTGAGGTTAAAACCGTTTGACAGTTGTCAAACTGGGAAAAAGTGAGGTTAAACACGTCTGACAGATTGGTAATAAGTGTGGTTATAGCCGCTAGACAGTTGTCAGATGTTAGATTAAATGATAAAATTGACTTTAAATTCTGAATAAACACTTCGCAAGTTCGTAGTGGTATGCAATTCGCTTCGCTCGTGCATAATTAAACCTGTGTATTAAATTACGTTTATAGTTTAATAATATACTATAGTACCTAATTGCTTTTTTCTTTTGTCAAATTTTCAACATGTGGCATTTTTTTAATATAAATAATAATATTTTTTAATATTATTATTACATGTTAACTGTGGTTTGTTTTAAAATTAAATTTTACCAACCCGTAATATTTATTGAAAATATCTACAATAATAATAATAATAATAAATAAAATGTGACTATATGACTGCAACCACCATTACAAGTAATTGTAATCTTGATTGCCTAACCGCAATACTGCATAACCATGATATAGCCTATTCACAAGATGAAAAAGTTTGAAGTTGACTGTCTTTTAAATTACAGTTCATTTTTTTTATCTGGACTCGTGTTTTTTTGTTAGGTTGACAGTTTGGTATCGAATGTAAAAGCCCTTTGACCTTCGGTCATCTATACCTTTGAGGGCAAAACTTCATTTTGATAAAATTATGCCAAATGCCACAATGGAAGAAAAAGTACATCGCCTTATGGACATTTTTGGAGTAAAAAAGTAACGAATTTGGTTTTATAAATATTATATCACACATTATTTACCATTGGACAACATTTACGTTCACAAACAATTTTAATTTCTTTTATATAAATTCTTTTCAAAGCGAAGATTATCCGCTAGGAATACTTTCTCTTCTGGGCCTTTTTTATATGATTTTACTCATCCAAGCCCCACCAAAGCCAAATTAATTGAATTTTTAACTACAAATTTCGACAACTCAACTTGACAACTGCACAATGTAACCTACAATAATTTATACATAACCACAATTAGATTTATAACTAGCTTAGTTTGTTTTAATCAATGTGACCAACTTGACAACTGTATTTACCAACCAAAACCCTAAATTTGCAAAGTTGCCGCAGTCCAGATAAAAAAAATGAACTTAGATAGAGAATTCAAATTTGGTGTAATTTTTAAGAATATTTTAAATTAAAAACAATTTTGTGTTTAAGTATACAAATTTATTTCATATAAAAAGATAATATACATAGTTTTTCTCCATCATTTTAAATTAATACACACATAATATAAAGTATACAAAAAACTACACACATAATACTTATAAAATAACTACAGCTCGCAAGATGGCTGCTCGTCGAGTTTGTCAGATTTGTATCCGCACAGGCAACTTCTGCTTCCGCTTCCGTTCGGCACGCAAATATGCTCGTCAGGGCACTGGTCTCTGTAGTATTGACAGACGTTGGTTACCTCAGGGCACCTATTCGGGACCGCCACAAGCCCGTACAACTTGGCGCCGCTGGCAAAGATCGGCACCTTAATCGGGGCGGCCCTGCGCAGAGAGTGCTTGTCCACACTCTCAATTTTTTTGCTAAAAAATAATAATAATTATAAATAATTATTTGTCCGGAAAATGTCAAAATTCCAAGTGGACAAAGGTCCCAGCAAACATATAAAGCCTGATTTATAGATCGCCTTCCTTCCTCACGTAAAAGATGAACAATACAAAAACCGTTTTGCTGTTTATAGATTACCTCCCGATTAAATTTACACATTAGCGACTTTTCCGAAAAACGGATTGGGGGTTGCCAAAATGCAAAAAATACGTGTGGAGGGATGTAAAAGTGCATAAGCAATCGGCGCAGGGTAAAAAAGTTGTATAATTATCACGTAATTAATAAAAGGGGCTGATAATTGAAGTGACTTACAGTGATTTTCTGTGAAAAAGAGCATGTAGCGAGTCAAAAACACGTATCTAATAGACGTAGAATTTGAAAGTGAAGTGTGAAAAGCTTGAATTATGAAAAACAACGTAATAAATTGCGGAAAATGCAATTTTTAAAATCAGGTAATTTGAGGTTATGCAGGTTCACAATCCAGCCTGCCCATAGATATATTATACCTCAATTGCTCAATGGGGCGGGGGGGGGGGGCAATGGGGCGGGGTCGGTTGGGTTGGGTTGTTAAGTTTGGGTTGGTTTCGCTCACCTTTGCCCATTTTAAAACACTAATTAGTGTACCTGCATAACCAAGATGACAGCTAATCTTCATAACCTCAAATTACTTGATTTTTCCTCAATTCATGACGTTGTTTTTCATAATTCACGCTTTTTCACTTTCAAATTCTACGTCTATTAGATACGTGTTTTTGGCTCGCTGCATGTTCTTTTTCACAGAAAATCACGGTAAGTCACTTCAATTATCAGCCCCTTTTTTTATTAAATACGCGATAATTATACAACTTTTTCACCCTGCGCCGATTGTTTATGCACTTTTACATCCTCCACACCTATTTTTGGCATTTTGGCAATTTTCCTGCCGTTTTTCGGAAAAGTCGCTAAAGTGAAAATTTCCCGTACGGGAATCTATTTTAAAGGCACTACAGTTCATTTTTTTTATCTGGACTCGTGTTTTTTTGATTGGTGGCTTATGCCAGTTTGACTTGGTATTTTTAGTATTTAAAAATTGGTACTTCTGCTAAAGAATTTAATTAAATACTTTGACAATGTTAAATTGACAATAATATTTATTATTGATAATTTACTTGTCAATTATAACTAAAAAGATAATTATGCCAAAAATAATAGCAACGAATTCGAATGTAAAAGCCCTTTTTGAGGGCAAAACTTGATGAAATTATTCCGCATGCCAAAATGGAAGAAAAAGTACATCGCCTTATGGACATTTTTGAAGTAAAAAAGTAACGAATTTGGTTTTATAAATATTACATCACACATTATTTTCAAGTTATTCACCATTGGACAACATCTACGTTAACAAAAAATTTTAATTTTATATAAATTCTTTTCAAAGCGAAGATTATTATCCGCTAGGAATACTTTCTCTTCTGGGCCGTAAAGCAACCTATATTTAACTACTTTTTTTATATGATTTTACTCATTCAAGCACCACCAAAGCCAAATTAATTGCATTTTTAACTACGAATTTCGACAACTCAACTTGACAACTGCACAATGTAACCTACAATAATTTATACATAACCACAATTAGATTTATAACTAGCTTAGTTTGTTTTAATCAATGCGACCAACTTGACAACTGTATTTACCAACCAAAACCCTAAATTTGCAACGTTGCCGCAGTCCAGATAAAAAAAATGAACTTTGCGATTTTCTTATTGTTCTTATTTTACGGGAGGAAGGAAGGAAGGCAGGCAATCTATAAATCAAGCTTTACGGTTGTGTTTGCTGGGTCGTGTTTTCCCCCAAACAAACTCATACTTACGTAATCCAATCGGACCAATAGATGTTTCTATCCGTGACGGTAATACCGAAGGGATATGTGCAGTTGGTTGCATAAGTTTGCTTTGCCCTCGTGTCGATCTGAACGCATTCGATTTTTTTCGTTCCTGCGTCTGCGTAGCAGAGACTGTCGGTGTCGTAATCGATTGTCAAAGAGTTTGGCAGAGAAACGTCAAAACCGCGCAAGAAAACGTCTCTGCCCGTACCGTCGGCGTTGGCCCACTCGATTTTTGGGCTTTTGCGGTTCCAATCGGTCCAAAAGATTTTTCTAAAAAAAATTGTCAATTTAAAAACTTTTTTCTACTCCCACCTTTAAAACGCTCATTATCGTACATGTTTCCATGACCTTTTAAATACAATTTGACAAGTTGTGGCTTTATGGCGCTTTAGTCACGGGCTGTTAGCAACAGGTTTTTAGTCACGGGCTGAAGTTAGTTTTAAGTTAGTTGACAGTTGTCAAATGTCATTTGAAAATTATTTTATTATCTCAATTCAAAAATACAAAAGTATTAGTAAATAGTTTCTTGACGCCAATATTTGAAAATGTCTCACTATGATTTTCTTCACTAAACGCGAAAATTAAAATTAATTTTTTTTTCATGGAATCGTTTTTGAGATATGAATTTTCAATCGTTTTTTTTTATTTACTGAGGTGTTTTGACGTTTTTGAGTATACTTCGAGTTCTAATTGATCTAATGTCAGGTAAAATGTCAAATATGAATCAAAATTTATGGTCTAAAAAATAAAATTAAGCTTTTTGGAAGTAAAGTTTTTTAGAATGGAAAGGTATAAATGCTTATAAAAAATAATAAAATAATGGAATAGAAGAATGGAAGAATTAATTCAAATTAATATAGACCTAGCGGTACCAATTCTGAAGAACTGTTTTGCTAGCTATAACATGTGTGTAAAATAAATAAATAAATATAAATATAAATAAATAAAATAAATAAATCAAAGTTAATTGAGCCCTCTACAACTTTCTCTTGTATAGTTTTGGTATCGGCCCATTAGTTCGATGCTAGCGATTTTTTTACAAAAATCGAGGTCAAAATTTTACATATCTTTCTGAGAAAGATAGAAATCGAAAAGAAAAGTCCAGTTTGATTTGTTTTACGTATAGATGATACTTAAAGGAAAAAAATAATCTGCTATTGATAAAAATCCATGGATAAATGGTGAAGTTATGAATTTTTCAGTGGAAGATCAAAATTTAGCTTTTCGAGAATTTTTACGTTTTTTCTTCATTTTATTGAATTATATAAAATTTATTATTGAACATTGATTTTTATAATATAAATATTGAAATTAAATGATATATTGAATATTGCAAATTAAATATTAAACATTGAAGATATTGAAAGTTTTATTTTGTTGTAATAAGCATAGTTTAAAAAAATTCTGGCTTCTTTGTTTTTTGTTGCTTTCGTATTCCGTTTCTCGTATGAGGGACCTATCATGGCTGCATTCCAAAAGCCAACCTTCATTTGCTGGTGAAAACGTTCTCCGTGCACATCACTTACGTCGCACAGATTGTCAGGGTTATTTACGCACTTTACTCATTTTAGACTTTTTATTAACTTAATAAAATAATAAAAATACCTTGTTGAAATGTCAAAAATAACAGTAAAATGTCTCTAAGCCAACACGAGAAAAAAAATAATTCACGTTTGCGGAGTCATGTTAAATTTAAATTTTGAATAATGTTTTCGGTAAACAAAGTACCTTAAAAAACTCAAAAAATTCCAATCATGCACTTTTTCATTATAGAATAAATATATTACAAAATAAAATAAAATAAAAATCGTTAAAAAGCTGAATTTTGGTCTTCCACTAAAAAACTAATAACCGCCATTTTCCATGTATTTTTATCAACATGAGCGCTTGTTTTTTTTTGTAAAAATGTTAGCCTTACGAAAAAAAATCAAACTAGAGTTATCTGTTTGATTTAAACCTTTTCCCAGGACGATATGTAAATCTTCAACCTCAAATTTTGCCATAAAGACGATATTTTTAAGTTATTAAAATCGCTAACATCAAAATACTTTTCAGATATCAAAAGTATGTAAAAGAATTCTTTAAAGTTTTAAAGTTTTAGAGGGCTCAAATACCTTCAATTTAAGGGCTTGTTTGGCCAAATCGAACAATTATATTTCAAGCTATACTCAAAAACGTCAAAACACCTCCGAAAATTAAAAAAAAAACAATTGAAAATTCATACTTTAAAAACGCATACAAAAAATTGTGTATGATTTTCGTGTTTAGTGGGTCAAAATACATAGGAAAATTATAATGGGATATGGATTGTAAACTATTGTAATTGTTAAGTTTAATTAAAATAATAACAGGTGAAAATTACGTCAAAAATGTTTATTGGCATGGTTACTTTATTTTCGTATAGATGTCGCTTTATGCAAATATTTAATTTAAACAATTTTTTAGATAATATTAACTATTTGTCGTAGAAAAATTATAGTATGCAACTCGTTAATAAACTTTTATAGGCATTCACTTAAAAAGTAACTCGCTCGTGCCTAAATTAAAGTCGTGACTAAAATGGCGTTTATTAAACTTGTAGGTTAATTTTTTTTTACCTTAACTGGTTTCAGTTGTTAACAAAATTCAATGCTTACCCTCTTTGCGGATGTACAGCAATACCCCTAGGGTTTACAAGGCCCGTTTTAAATAGAGTTCTGCGTCTTTTAGAGTCCAAATTTGCCACTTCAATGGTATCATTTGTGGAGTCAGTCCAATAAATATTTCTTGATACCCAATCTATAGCAAGGCCTTCTGGTGAGCCAAGCGCTAAAATTAAAAAAATATACCCAATTTTTTTTCGAAATAAAACTTTTTTACCATCTCTAATAAAATCTTGCTTTTCACTTCCATTAAACGTAGAACTTCTTATGGCTCTATTAGTAATATCACTCCAGTACACCCTGCCATCTATACAGTCAATGTCCAAACCAACACTGACTTGGTTTGGTTTTACCTGGATGGGCCTGCCAGATTTTTTGCTGGTGGGTTCGTCTGTGTATATTTTTAAGGTGGCAATACCGTAATTTAGCAGTAAAAAGTTGCCTTCGTGGACCGGTATTGGTTTACAGGATGTTCCGTTTCCGACGTAGCCTGGGTTGCATTTACAATAGAAACTGAAAAAATTGAATGTTTCGTAAAACCTCTTGGTACCGAGGTACCAAGATATGCTTGGCAAAAATTAAAGACGTCTCTAAAATCGAAGGACCAATTAATTAAGTATAACAATTTACCTTCTATCAATGATACAGCTGGCATACGGACTGCACATCCCAGGGTCAACTTGGCATGTTCTTTCCTTGTAACACACCAACCCGTCTCCTTGGTAACCTTCTTTGCACCGACAAGTGTATGACATTAGTTGCTCATCGTATTGACAGGTGGCGTCGACGGCGCAATTGTTGGCAACGTCGCAACCTACCGGTTTTTGTCTGCATTCGGTAATACCTAAGAAGTCATTATGTTAGGTTTTACGCAATATTTCGGTAAAGTGTAAATTATATCTTTTGTAGATGGGTTAATATATTCCCTGATAGCACACTTTATTCTAAGAATGTTTTTTAAACCTTCCAGTGAGAATATTCCTAGGATCATGCTATATTTCTTCTAAAGAACATGCTTAAAAGACATATAGCATGATCCTAAGAATATTCTTACTGGCCTATAGGCAGGTTCTTAGAAGGTGCAAAGTTTTATTGGTAAAAATTAGTCTACTCTAAACATATGCTCAGAATGTTAAGAAAGTAATTGCTATAGAAAGTTCATTTAGGAATATTCCTGTTAAGCATATTTAGTTCAGTTACCTATATAATAGTAAAATATACCATAAACTACGTATAAAGGTATATACCTATACTTAAGTACCTAATTAGTAATTAGTATTAAATACTAAGTAAAAAAACACAATCCAAAATATTTTTCATAGTTATTTGTCAAATTAAAACAATATTCGATAACAAAAATACTTTTACTATAGGTAGGTATTTTATTTTATGTTAAAAATAAATATTTATTAATTTGTATACCGATTTTTTATTTCTGAATTAACATTTTTATGTATAATATTATATTATATTATATAATCCTAACTATATTCAACTTCAATCTAATCTGACTTATCACACAAAATTTTTCAATTTTACTTTTTATGAAATAATGTCATACAACTTATGGTTTAGAGGTCAAATTGTTTATTTAATATTTTTAAATAAATATATATTAATATGTCGCAAAAATTTTTAAGGGGACGACAAATACATTTCACTGTCATATTATGACAGTGAGGCGTATTTGTCGTCTCCTGAAGAATTTTACGAATGTAGAATACAACATATTAGAACGTGGGTATCTGACATATTTGGAAATATTCTCAAAAGCTTCCTAGAAGCTCCTTAAGAAATCTTCTAAGAACATTCCAAAAACGTATTCTTAAAATGTTCTTAGGATGCTTTTTAGGAAGGTTTTAAGAAGCTTTTAAGAATCTAATTGCATCATTAAAAGGGTATCTATTAAATGTTTTAATAGTCCCTAAGAACATTCTTAGCAATAAGGGAAGGTTCTAAGAATATTCCATTATTCCGGTTGTCCGATGTCCCCCAAGTGAAAAATGATTATTTTTTATTTTTGGTTGTTTCACTGTTAGTCTAGAATGGGGTTTTTAGGAAGCCACCAGGTCTAGTAATAACATAACATAAGTGGTTCTGCACTAATGCAAGAATTTTAAGAAATCATACATTTTGAATATTGGAGCTTCACGGAAGATAGCTTCACGGAGGTTAGGATTTCGTATGTTTTTTTTAAACATCCCTTTGTATATTTGAAATAAGTTATTGTATCTTTTGACACCTTAATATTTTTAAAAAATACATAAAATCGATTTTAGTAGATCTACTTACTGAGATATTACACTTCACGGTGGATAGGTCTTTAAATAGCCAATTAATGAACTTAAACTTTTGAATTATAAAACAGCAACTCTCATCTGCATATAAATTCTAACTGACCTTCAGGAATCACATGCATCTATAATGTCGTAAACAGAAGTTTTTGCTTATTTAAAATGATTAAAGCGCCATTCGTTGCATAAAATTTAAAGAAAAAACAGATTCACGGAGGATAGAATCAATTTTTGTAACACCTACATAAATGGTTATAAAAATTATTTCTTTTAATTTTTAATAATATTTTATATTTGATTCGATTGCTTTGGATGTGTTTAATTTACTTAGTGAACTGGTATTTTTAGTATGCTTTTACTACCTCAGATATTTGAAAACATATAGGTTAAACTAGAAAGAGTAACAGTCACGGAGGATAGGTTTTAGACTTTTAAAACATTGTAAAAAATAATTAATTGCGGTTAAAAATCTGGAACCTGAGCTGTAATATCTACTTAATTATGACAGATCAAAGCACAATAAAAGTGTTAGTTTTATTAAATTTCACGGGGTAACACCATCGGGGGAAATTTCGTGAGATTCACCCAGATACAACTTTCGTGGTGACATATTTTGACCTACGACTGATAAAAAAAACATATTTGCAAAAAATAAAACAATTAACCTACCATCTCCCATAAATCCTGGTTTACAAGCGCAAAATTGCGTTTGCAATTCTTCATTCCACATGCATTCCGCATCCTCCACGCATTTTCCAGCACCACAGAACATTTGAGATGGTACACATTGATGCTGCGAGTCTCTATGATGATTTTCCTTGCATACGCATTCCGAAAGTCCAGTTTCAGGACTCGCAGCACAGTTTTCTGTAGCTGTGCAGCTGGAGCAGCCGGTTGCAGAGCTGCAAACGTATCCGTCACCTGTAACATGTCATATTAAATGGCAAATTGACGTGGTAGTCACGTTCGAACTCTTGACGAGGTAAGACATAGTAACCGAGACCTCGCTTGAAACCAAAATTTTACATCCCACAATAAACTACCTACTCCTACAGTGCAAATCATAATATCAACATTAAATTAAAGGCTACATTACAATAGGACGAACCACCTGACAATAGGAAGCATTCTATGTGAAGAACAAACGAGGCCAAGCAAGAGTGGAAAGAGCCATCATCTGCAATTTGCAGACTGCAAACATTTGATAAGTACTCTTAACTGACTGTGAGACCTAATACGTAAATTTGCAACATTAACCACGTTCAGATACCTACACAACCCTGAGAGCGGTTCTTTCCACTTAAACACAACCTAAACTAAAACAAAAACAATGTAAAACAAAGAGCAGAAGTATTTAAAATGCAAAAGAGAGCTGTAAAAAACTTGGCTGGTATGGGTTTTAGAGAATCCTGTAGAAGCATTTTATGTTAACAATACCGTGTATTAATTTTTGTTAAAAGTAATTCATCCTAAACACTGTCCTAGCACATATGAGCAAAATCCTGTATATGACGAAATTTAGTTTTATTACAAACTTCCCCAACATTTAAAATCCATAAAAACTATAAATATCTTCAAAAGAAAGCTGCATCAGTTTTTAATTCAAAAATATTTTTACAGTGTTGGGGAATTTAAAATATTTGTGTTTTAAGTCTTAATATTGTGTAATTATTACTATGTAACCTGGACTAGTCTATAGGTCATTTGTGGACAATAAATTACTTTACTTTACTTTACATACCTATGTACCCTTCTGAGCATATGCAGCGCGATTTTCCCAAGTTATCATCGTACAGACAGGTGGCGTGAGGATCGCAATTATCCAAAACGCTGCAAGAAACTTGTCCAGGGTTGCATGTGTAACCGTCGCCTTCCAGGCCGTCATTGCATTGGCACACGTAGGAAGCTTGCGATTGGCTGTAGATGCACTGCGCGTCTTTGTGACAGTTCCTGGCAACGTCGCAAGATTCTGAAACGTCAAAATAATTTTTATTTGACGTACATTGTTTGATTTGGATTATACCTTCCATTTCGGTGACCGGTTCAGGTTCTTGGTTCGCCGGTATGCAGTATTTTGAGTTTGGTTGGGTTTTATAGCCCTGCGGGCACCAACAAACGCCCATAAGACATCTGTTTATAATTCTCGAGGGTTCTGTAGGATACTCTGTAGTGGTGATTTCTTCTGTTGTAGTGGTTGGGGTAGTTGTGGTGTATTTAGGTCTACATTCGTAACCGTTTCCTTCATAATTAGGTAAACATTCGCAATTGTACTGGTTGGTTCTGGGATTTATAGAGCAAATACCTAAAAACAAACAAGAATATTTCCATGTTTGGTGAAAAATATTTACTCAAAACTCACCATAAGGCGAACAGTTATTGTTGACGTGGCAACTCTGATCGACGACAGCCCTGCAGTGGTATCCGTCGCCTGTGAATCCCCTTTGACACATGCACTGCGCAATTTCGTTTTGCTCGACACATTCGGCGTCCACTGCGCATTGAACGTTAGCGCAGCTGCGCGCGTTCTCGCAGACGTGGCCGTTGCCTTCGAAACCTGGCAAACATTGGCACGTGAAGGTTCCTATCACGTTCGTGCAGAGGGCGTTGTAGTCGCAGTCGTGTTGACCTAGAAAAATGTCAAATTTCGTAGACATTCATTTATCGCTAGGATTTATTTAGTGCAACTGTTACCTGTAGCACATTCATTAATATCAGCACACAGCGTCATATTGTCTCTAAAGAATTGTTGATAGCCTGGATTGCAGACACATCTGTAATTATCGTTATCCACGACACAAGAACTGTTTGGGCCACATTTGGATCTACCTTCTTCGCAAGGGTCATTATCTGCAATATTAATTATTAGTAATAACACAATGATTGTTAGATTTACTTTAATTTTGGGCTGCTGATTTCAAAAATGCCACTCGTTTTGCTCCAGGACGTCTAGGATTCGAAATAATTGCGTAATAAAAAGTTTTTTGTTAATGTTTTGATTATTTATTAAATTATTTTACCTTAAGTCTATTTTGGATGTTCATTATATTTTTGACGTTTTTTGTCAAAAATATACAAGGACTCTGTACAAAGTCATCGGTAGATAAATGTCAAATAGAAATTTTGTTTGTTCCATTGTAACCGTATACTAAAGTAGTATTATATAAGGGATATTTAATAAAGCACTTTTCTGCAGAGAAGTGCTTTATTAAATACCACAACTAAAATTATAATGTTTTTTTGGTAAAAAGTATCATTTTTTGAAATTTTGGTGTCGTTTTTTTAATTACTAATTAAATTGAAAAGGCAACATAGTAAATGGGTTTCGGTATAAGCATTACTATTCGACTATTATTTTATGTTTTTATTCAAATCATGCCTAAAGTACCCAAAAATTTAATCTTGAATCTTATTTATTAAGTCTTATCAAAATTTAATATCGAAGTGCACCTATTAATTATTGACATTTAAAATTTAAACTTTAAATTCTCTTTTTACTTGAAAGTCATTTTAAGAACCAAAAATTAAAAAAGAGCTGGAAATGGAAGTGGTAATGGAAAGAGAAAGGAGACGAACATTTATGTCGTCGTTATAAATTTGTTTTGTTTTGTTGCGGTACCTTTACGCCCAAGAAAAACCAACGCAATATTTCATTACAAAATTTTATGAGATATACCTACTACTTTAATTTTGCAGGAATATTAAATGGACCTGATATACGACGATTAATGAAAGATCAGGAATTCAGAAATGCTCTCAAAGTTGACGAGATTGTCGCATATGGCAGCTGTCATTGAAAATGTTCTTGGTTCATATCGGGCCTAAAATTGGCGCCAATTCATTGAAAAAATGCTTTCCGTTTTGCAAAGAATTAGCGTTAATATGTCATTTAAAATACATGTTTTTTTTTCATCCTGATAAATTTGCCGAACTGATGAACATGGAGAACGATTTCACTAAGTTACTGCAAATCTAGAGCATTGGTAGATATTTATGTGTAAAGCGGAAATAAGTTGGATTCATTGCTAGGAGACATTTGCTAGAATTTGCAGCAAAAGATGTACGACGATGATGAGGATTGAGCACAGTACTATAATCCAATTTGATATTTGATACGATTTAATAAATTTAAGGTAGAAAAAAGCAAAATTATGCAATGCATTAAATTTTGAGGGCTTAATTTGGATAAAAGTATTTAAAATGTTATATTGTTAGATAAATTTAAGGCAAAATAATTTAATAAATAAATAAAATACTAACAAAAAACTTACATTTTGAGGTGATTGAGCAGAGCATTTTATTATTTTAAATCCTAGACGTCCTAGAGAAAAACTAATGACATTGTTAAAATCATCGTCCCAAAATTAGCTCAACTAAGCTGGAGTACTTAATGTTAGGAAAACAAGTTTTTAAAACTATCATAGTGTAATTAATATTAAAGTATTAAAATGTTACCTCCAAAAGGTATAACCTTGTTGCTCATTCCAAACCTAATGATCTGCTCCCTAGCCTCATAACTGATAAAATTCTTCCCAACCCTCAACTTCCAAATAGCCCCCACGGTAGTATTATCATGCAAGCACGAATCAAAAGTGAAAGCTTGCTCCACGTTGTACACGTAAACCACATCCTGGTTGTTCAAAGCGTTCACATACTTGAAGCTCCTTTGCGAGCTCATCTGTATCAAGCCAGGTCTGGTCATGGTGTATTCCTCTTGGTACTCCTCTATGTCGACCTTGACGTTTTGAGGTAGGTTCGGTATTTCGCCCTGTATGTCAGCTTCGAGGCGAAGCTGATCGAACACGTCCAAACCCACGTATCTTTGTTTTATGGTGACCACTTGGCTGGTGTTTAGAAAAGTGACTGTGGCCGAGTGATTGAAGACTCCTCCTGTGAGTTGGTAGCCGTTTAGGGCTTCACGGACTGGTTTTGCGAATATGTAGCTGAAAATATTGTTGTTAGAGGTGCAAGTTGGGTTTTGGTGTGGGTTTTTTACCCTATAACTCCGCCAAGAATTTGCAGTGATTGCACATCAAAACCAATAGCTTCTGGTATTTTGGATATGGCTGTGTAAGCTCTACCATCAACCATTACAATGTAGGATTGTAAATCTAGGTTGTCCAAAGTTTCCTCGTTGATTTTACCACTAACTTTTCCATTTATTCTTAGAGGAGCATCTGAAATATAACACAAGATTTGTAAGTTGCTTATGAAAATATCGATGCTACCAACCTTTCTTAATGCATGATTTTCCATTTCCATAATATTTTTCTTTACATTGACAGCAAAAACCTTCTTCATAATCAACGCAAGAAGCCTGGGGATGACACACAGATGTAGCCTCACTGCATGTAAGTGGTGCCTCAGTCATATTTTGATCTAAAACACATTCCATTGACCCCCTGTATTTTTGTAACTACAAATTTTACCTTCTCCATTTAAATCGGGTTCTTCTAGCTCAACTTGGTCAACCCTATACATAAATTGGCCTACTAAACCAATGTTGGAACGGCTAAAAAAGAAAACAATTGCGTTAAAATTTAGATTTTTGATTTTGTTATAGCACCTTTCAAGATTTTTCACTTGCTCTGTACCAGATCCCGGTAAAGTGTAAACCCTGCCTTCAGGGGTGATTAAACCAGCCTGGGCTCTAGCATCTGGCAGCCCAGATTCGTCCCCGGTACCCTTGATCCATTGTATCCCATTTTCTGGATACAAAAATTCCACGTACGATTGTTGTCCATCGCTGATTATAGCCACTTGAAAAGTGTTCAACTTATCTTCGCCTGAAGAAAATAAAAACATGTTGTAATAAAAAAAAATCTGAAGTAGCCCATTTACCTCCTTTATAGTAGCCCACGGCATGCCATGTAACCAAAAACAGACTTGTCGCTTGGAAATCGTGGGAATTTGTAAACGCGTCGTGTACATTGTTTGTAGCCCTCTCCAGTAAGCCTGGGCTATCGGTTTCGTAATAGGTAACGGTGCCAGATTTTGTTAAATCCACGTGGGAATAAAACGGCGCGATTATGGGGTAATCCAGAGGGAATTGTATGTTCAGAAACTGCTGTATGTCCGTTTGAAAGGATATTATACCATTGGAGTTAACCTGTTTGGCAAAAAAATGTTATCAAGATTTTTTGCATTTTTATCAAAATTGCTAAAATTCACATTGAACCTCACTGAATTAAAGGTCAAACTTTTTGATAATTTTTTCAAATGACAAATTTGTTATTTTGTTGTAATATAATACATTAAAAGACAATTGTGTGTTAAAGGTCATCATAGAATCATTATTTATACATGATTTATTAAATATAAGGTTATTGTCCCCCCTAATTTACTTAATTTATCTTTAAAGTTACTAATAATAGAATTATTCATTAATCGTATTTAGGTCTTTTAAACAAAAAAGTCACTATAGTGATATAAGAAGATAAAAATTAATGTTTTTAATTAGGTACTGTAAATTCGAAAAATTCAAATATTTGGTACCTACTTAATATTTTTTTTTAAGTTTTTTTAAGTATAAAAAATTGAAATATCTAAAAAAGGTCATAAAAAAACTAACTGAAAATAACTTCTGGCAAATTCCAACTACTAAAACCTGGGACACCCTGTATATGTTAAATACCAATTCAAATGTTTGAAAGGTATAGCGTAGTTTCATATAGCATAAACAATTGTTAATTTTTTATAAATCCAAAAATTTTTTCTGATTTAAAAAATATATTTTTAAATATTTAATTTACATTCCATGGCTATTTTTATAATTTTGACGAAGCAAGCTCTTTACTTTTTATTTTAGTCTATATATATATATATTAGTTTTAAGGTCTTTATAAATAACAAAAATTATAAAGACGTTGATAAAAACCTTACCAAAAAACTAAAGATATTTAAAAAATGCACATATTTAAGGGTAAAAAAGTACTCACCCAGATGGTATCAAATGGTACTCCGAAAAACACAATGGGTACTCTTAGTGGTATCTCCTTGCTGGCTACGTCACTAGCGTGGGGCAGCTCCTGGATCTCTTCCACGTCCCAATCGTACAACAAATTGGCGGGTATCCCCAAATTGGGGGGAAACCCCCCCAACGCCAGCACAAACAGCAAGAAAAACTTCATACTTGCCGCGCCAGAAGTCGACTAAGTTTTATCTCGAAGAGTGAAAATGTTGTGGGTCACAGTTCGACCTGGGTATCTTAATTAACTAAAGATAAATGTGTGGCATTTCGAAATGCTCGAGACAATGCAGCTGGGCGACTTTTTTTCGATGTTATGTTTGAGTAATTAGCTTTTGAAGTCGTTGCGCTAATTTGGACGGGGTCCAAAAGTGTTTACAAATTGGATACACATTTATCTGTTGCCTCTGATGAATGAACAGATGCATTTGTGTTTACAAGATGTTCAAAACAAACAAAGCTTAAGTTTCTTTAAATGTTTGGGTTATTTGATAATGAATGCACTGTAAGTAAATATGCAAAATAATGTTAATTTTATATAGGCACTATATAAAGTTTAATACTTATACAAAATGTTATACAGTATGGGTGGTTTGGTTTGGTTGTTTGGGAAACAGATGCATTTTAACTCTTTTCTTATTTAGGGCTGTACACAAATATTTATAAAGTATAAGACTTTTTAAGTTTGTACTGCCCTCTTGGCACCTAACAATTTGACGTCAAAAAGTAGTATACTTAATATCTTTGACAATGGTTTTTGTCTAAATAGTTAAATGTTAGGTAGCAACTTCGGAAACATCATTTTCAATTTTTAAATTAATAAAGAATAATGTGAGAAGTAAAATGTTGTAAAGCATACTTTCTGTTTGTCACTTTATCGATAGAAAATCAGACAGGCAGAACCTTTGACCTTAGTAAAATAATTTCTTTGTTTTCAAATTAGAAGTAGATTTTTTTAGCATAAATAAATCAATTCAGTTAGAATTATACAGAGCTGTCAGAAAAAAGTATCTTAGTTACTTTAGAGTAACTTAGTTACTTTAAAGTATCTAAGTTACTGTATCTTAGTTCCTTTATTTTTTTAACAAAAAGTATCTAGTATCTTAGATACTTTTTAAAAGGAACTGTATCTTGTAACTTAAAAAAAGTATCTTAGATACCGAAAAGTATCTTAGATACCAAAAAGTATCTAAGATACCACAAGAAAAGTTATTTTAGTCAAGTTGTTCGAAACGGCCGCGGCCATCGAAGTTATTATACTAAGTATACTGGCGACTTCAGCGACTGGCGCCAATCGACTGGCGGCGATTTTTGTTATACCTACTTAATTTTTATTCACCTATACTTCTTTTATAATCTGTGACTTCGCCACCCGCTCTGTAGAAGGGTGTTTCCGTTCGTTGCGACTTGAATTTATAGTGGTAAGTCTGAAATAAGTTAGGTTAGGTAAGTACTTGCACTTGCTTCTTTATGATATACTGATGTAGGATATTGGTTGTTACATTGTACCGTACATTCTATAATGTTCAATGTATGTTTTCCATTTTAAATTTTTAAAAAATGTTAAAAAAGATTAAATGAAAAGTGTGAGATAATTTTTTTATTTTTATAATTAAGTGGTGTTTAATTAACGATTTTATCTCTTTTTATTTTTAAGATATTTTAAAAGTGCCTAAGTTAGACACTTTTTGCATTGGACCCTTCAATGGTTTTAATCAACTAGATTTTATTGAAAGAAATTGTTAAAAAAGTAAGCTTAAAATTATTTGAAAAATCAGGGTGGGGTTGGAACGAATTTTTGTTGGGCGGTTTATACGAAACTTATTACATAATATACAAAGTAACTAAAAAAGTATCTTATTAAGTATCTTAAAAAGTAACTTAAGATAAGTATACTATATAAGTATATATATTTAAGTTCCTTTTTTTAAAGAGTAACTAGATACCCAAAGTAACTTCGGATACTTTTTCAAAAAGTAACTTATCTTGTATCTAGATACTTTTTAAAAGTATCTTTGACAGCTCTGGAATTATAGTTATGTTAATATTACCTCCGGTTGTCTAATTAATTAGCAGTCATAACCTGGCCCTGGTGAAATAATAGTTTATAACCTAGACCCTAGACAAAAACAAAAACTTGTTTTTGTCTAGGGGATATAATGTCAATAATATGCTAGTAGCGCCACCACGTAGCCGTTATCATCGTAACAAAACTACAACTTTTAATAATCAGCTGTCAAAAGTGTAGGTATGTTACAAACGAGTGTTTTTGAGAATAAAATCCTGGGTAGAATTTTTCCGGTTTCCCAATAAACAGTGTAAATCCGAATGAAAAAATAAATTGCATACAGTCCCTGTAAATATAAATTGTACCTATTAGATTAATAAAAGCGTTGATTAAAAAAGTCTCCACTCAACGGTAAAATACCAAAAACGGGTCCCGAGATAAATTTAACGAGTATGATACACCTTTTTATAAAGAGCCAATCACATTCAGTAAAGAATTTTGCAAATCTTGATTGAGGTTTTTAATCTTGTGAAAAATTTATATAATCATTGTCAACATAAATAAAAATTTTAAATTTTCCAAGCGCTAAAAAAATGCACTTGATTTTGGTTAGCTGGCAATTTAAACTTGCTAAATTTTTGATGTTCGTTAATTACCCTGTATAGCCTATTAAATAATTTATACTTTATAAAACAGCAATCTTAAAATTGCGTACGTTTTTAATTAAAAAACAACAATAGCTGTGTGCACAAGGTATAGTTAATATTTGTTGGCCACATAAAATGTTAAAACAGATTCATTCACCTTCTCATAACTAAATAATATTGTCAAAAATGATGATATTTTGAAAATTTTCCTTTTATTTTGTTAGTTAGCGTTTTTTAAATATAATTTTTTTTAATTACCTAATTTAAAAAAAATTTGTTTGAAAACTAGAACTTTTTAAAATTAATATGAAAATCGTGTACTGTTTGTATTATATATTTTTTTTCAAACGTAAGTAAAATGATACTTTTGGACAATTTACAGGATTTTTAAAGTTTTACTTTATTGCCTTATCATAGTTATGTGTAAGTAATTATGTAACTGTGATTTAACAGCGCCATATCATAGTTAGTTAACGTGATAAAATAATTATAATCGATTTACAAAAATGTTGCATTCTATTTAGGTAGGTACTTATTATTTATGCAATATTTACATATTATTTATGAAATGTTAATGTAAAATAAATTGTAAAACAATAAAAATACAAATATGTATATGCATACACAGTGTGACCCATTTGTTTGCGACTCACCCCTGTAAAATCTTTATTTATTGTGCGATTTTAACCGGATTTGTTCCTACATGGTACTATTACTGTAAGTTTAATTTTATTTCAATGTTTTTTTCATGGATAACTTGACAGAATAAATTTGTGTAGTTATTATTGTGCATTTTTCTACTTAAAATTTTTCAATAAAATTTAGTAATGTGTCGTTTTGAGGGGTGGTGAATCCAGTGCCGTACTTAGATTTTGTTTAAAAAAATCGCTAATATGAGTTCTTAAAAATTTACTCTTAAAAACTGATATAGTAGGCCTTGTATTTTGTACAAATATGACGTTTTGCTCAAAAAATACAGTTTATCCAGATCTACACTTTAAAACAAATCCGGTTAAAATCGCACAATAAATAAAGATTTGGGACCCATTTGTTTGCGACTCATATACACTGCCCGTCAAAATTAACTCATAATAAGAAAAAAAAATATTTTCTCGAAAAACCCACCAAACACGTAAACTGAGATATAAGTTGAAGTATAAAAAATTTTATAAAGATTGGTTAATGCGTTTTAGAGTTGGATTTTTTTACTTGTTATGCGTTAATTTTGACGCGCAGTGTATTATTCCAAAAATGCAAAAATTCACTTGCTGCCTTTTAACTACCGACGGCATATGCACAATTCATATAAATGTAGTGCCCAGTGGCATTTATTTTTTAGTTATAACTTAATACTATTACTGCTAAAATTTGAGCTAATTTTAACCAAAAATCAACAAAATTTTAAAGTTGCCATAATAGTAAATAAATTAGAACTAAGAAATGTTTTATGCCAGTGAGATAATATATTACATACATTATAAATAAATAAAAATTTGCATAAATAAATGGTTCTTAAAGAGATTCAAAAAAGGAAAAAAATGTGTATTAAAAATATTTTAATTATTAAGAACAAAGCTGAAAACAAACATTGTAGAATATAGAAAAAAGAGTTGAGTTTTTCCAAACTATTCAAAAATAAAAAAAAATTTAATTCAGTACTTCTTCAAAGCTACAAATTATATTGTGGATAAAGATAGAGCATTAAATATCACGGTGTCCCTGAAAAACTTTTAATTGAAAAGTTCAGACGTATCCGCTTGGCACTTTTTTAGAAAAATCAATTTTTATAAAAACATTAATGATTTTTAATCAATTTTTTGAGATTCTTAATTAGTGAACTCCAAATAATGACTAACAGCCTTTAATGTATTTGTCAGATAAAATGTGCAATTCATTAGACTAGTGAATTATTGACATATGTCACTTGTTATATGTCACATGTCGAAATCGTGATTGAAAATGCCGTTGCGTTATTTTACCGTTTTTTTTTTGTGGAAAGATTCTGGAAAAAGTTCAAAGCATATTAGTATATGATATAGAAGATGAACGATTACCAAAAGTTGTATGCAAAGGTTGTGAAATTTTATTATATAAAGCAGCTAAACAAGAAATTTATAGAAACACGTTAAATTTGCCTGATTTTTTTAATTGGAAATAATTGGGTATAATTTTATAAAAAGTGCTAAAAATAAACCCATTAAAAAGAAAAAAACACGCTTTTAGTCATCTAAAAAAATTTATTAAAAATCATTAATGTTTTTATAAAAATTGATTTTTCTAAAAAAGTGCCAAGCGAATTGAGTTTATCCTGAAAAAAAATTGTCTTTTTATCAAAATATAAAAAAAATCGGATACGTCTGAACCTTTCAATTAAAAGTTATTCAGGGACACCGTGATATACCTTCTTTTTATGGATTTTTTGTTTCCCTTAAGTATCTCTGTTTTGCCTGCCGGAACCATTCGGATACAATATTTTAAAACTCTTTTTCGGTTGACGTGCAAAAAAATATTTAACAAAAAATGCTATAAATTTTACCCTTCAATACTCCTATTATTTTTAAATGTTGTATTTTTTGGTTTTTCCGAAGGGGTAGCCAATAGCAATCTTTTCCCAGATTTTTAGAATTTTTTTTAAAACTCATATCTCTTTAGGAGACGCCTCAATTTTTTTATATACTGAAACTCAAAAAAATCTAATTTAATATTATTTGTGTTTATTGTTTTGTTTTTAAAACAAAGAACAAATTTTCTTTATGAAGTTTTTTATAAATAATATCTAGTACAAATAGTATAATAATTATATAATATAATTATAACACTTAAGTGTTGATTTTATTAATTTAAGCCCAATGCAATTAATTGCTATTATATTATATTGTTTTATTATTATTAAGTATTATGTAACAAAATAGAGAAAAACTATATGGATACTATAAAATAATGCCATATATCATTGATGTTTCATTGTTCCAATGTAGATATATATCATTGTTATGATACATAAAAGGGATGTAAATGTTATATTATTATGTTGTATCATAATTATGTAACAAAATAGAGAACTAATTCATTTCCGCAAAGTTTTTGTTTTTTTTCGGTGCTCAAGCAAAATATTAATCTGCATATAGAAAAAAACATTCTCACCAAGTTTGAGCTCTTAATATTAATTTTAAGCACTTACTATTTAAATTTAAAGTTTTACCGTTTAAAATGCATGTAAAAAATATATTTTTTTTTCAAATTTCTAATACTTACCAACCATTGACAATATTGCAAATCGGTTTAATACACCTTATGGGGAATTTCACGCTCATTAAAATTGCTTTTGAGTTTTTTTTTTGTAACTCGCATTGGTTCACCAGTAGGAGTCGTCAAAGGACAGTTTTTGAAAAAAATCGTTTTTTTTATTTTTTCGAGCAAATCGCCAAAATTAGTCATAAAAAAAAGTTATCCAACCAATATTTAATGAATTTACTGCCATTTTTATAACTGAAAACGTAAGAAATTGATAAATACCAACCCATAATGTTATTTTGATTTTTTCTATTTATTATCATTATATTTCCCTACACTAAGAACTTTTTTAAAATTATTATGATTTTTCACTCATAATGAATATGAAAACAACACATAAATTCATAAAAAAACAACAAAACTTTAATCGGAATATACAGAAGGTTATGTAAAATATTTCAAATTTCGCTTTAAAAAATTAAATAATCTTCATTTATATTTTTTTGCTATATGACAGAAATGTTGAAAAATTGCAAAATCCAAGTTACAATTTTCTTATTGTTTTTTTATGAATTTATCTGTTGTTTTCATATTCATTGAGAAATCAATAATTTTAAAAAACTTCTTAGTGTAGGGAAATATAGTGATAATAAATAGAAAAAATCAATCTAAATAACATTATGAGTTGATAATTATCAATTTCTTACGTTTTCAGTTATAAAAATGGCTGTAAATTCATTAAATATTGGTTGGATAACTTTTTTTTATGATTCAGCCCTTTTTTCTCCCTACTTTTTGCGGTTTGTTAAAAAAAATTTAAAAAAAACGATTTTTTTCAAAAACTGTCTTTTGACGACTCCTACTGGTAAACGAATGCGAGTTACAAAAAAAAACTCAAAAGCAATTTTAAAGAGCGTGAAATTCCCCATAAGGTGTATTAAACCGATTTGCAATATTGTCAAAGGTGGGTAAGCATTAGAAATTTGAAAAAAAATATATATTTTTTACATGCATTTTAAACGGTAAAACTTTAAATTTAAATAGTAAGTACTTAAAATTTATATTAAGAGCTCAAACTTGTTGAGAATTTTTTTTTCTATATGCAGATTAATATTTTGCTTGAGCACCGAAGAAAACAAAAACTTTGCGGAAATGAATCACCCTAATGTAAATCAGTGGCGGCTGGTGGATTTTGGGTATACCCACAATCCTGGTGAAATAACTTTTTGCTCGGCCATACCGGCCCCATGGCGCCCCCAATAAATATTATATAAAATTAATTGGTGCAATTTTATTATTTACCATAGTTTATCGACACATTTTATTTAAAAAATCCAAATTATAGATATAAATTTTATACCATTTTAAATTTTAATTATTTCTTTGAAAAATTTTATATGGCAATGTTCTTTGTTATCTTGGCTATGTAAATGGAACAACCTAGTTTGCTCCACAGTTCTTAATTTTTGTACATGTCCTTATTTTCTAAATGCCTTTCGGCTAGAGGCTTAGCCGAATTCAGTATCTTTATGGGTTAATTATTGGGGGGTTGGAGAGCCTCAGGGCCAACGATTGAACAAGGTTAGGGTAATTTGTGTTTTATCCTGTCTGCTTTTGACGCAGACAGAAGCAGAGGTGAGATGTATCGTTTGTGCCTCGTAAGAACAGAAGCAATATTGCCCTAACTATGCTCTGTGCATCAACCTAAGTCAAAAACATAATTAACTTTTAACCAGGATTAAATATCCATAATTCAACGTTTGCGTAATTTATGCACACTATAGTGTGCTATAGTGTATACAAATTACGCAAATGATTAATTATGTAAATCCAAGTGGTATAAATATAAAAAAATAAATCTGCGGTAAAGTAGAACAACAAAATGAGCAAAACGAATTCGCAAAGCGTGCGCGAAAATTTTAGTAACGCGGTTTTTTTTATTACAGGGGCCACAGGCTATATTGGAAAATTGACTTTAGAGGATATTTTAAGAAATTTGGATGTAAAAAAGGTGTACATTTTGGTAAGGGGTAAACGCGGATTTAGTTCAGAAGAGAGATTAAAAAGGTTACTTCAAAACCCAGTAAGTACCTTTGTCATTTTATGTTGCTATGGAAACAAATCAAATATGACAAAATCAAAACTTTTTTTTAGTTATTCGAGAGAGTTCTTCTCAAAAACCCAGAATGTTCTCGAAAAATACACCTACTAGAGGGCGATTTACTGAAAGAAAATTTAGGATTATCAAGTGTCGACATAAGCAAAATACAAAATGAAGTAGAATATTTTATACACTGCGCTGCCACAGTAAAATTTGACGAAAAACTACACATTGCAACGCAGCTGAATGTTAAAGCAACTAAAGATTTGACTGAAATAGCAAAAAAGGCGAAAAAAATTAAGGTGAGGATAATTACTATTTTTAAATATACCATAAATATATATACGGCAATATGAAGTGGAACATCAATTATTGTACTTTATATATTAAGTATGTGGGTCATTTTCAAGAAACACCTGCTTTCAGGAAAATGAAGATCAAATTTTTTTTGCTTAAATTGACTTTTGGTTGGATTTTTATAAATGTTTAGAGTTTTGTTTACTTACATTTAATTTAATTTAATTTTTTTACGTTTTTTTCAGAAAAATGTGTTTAGCTAGCTTTATATGTCTCCACTGTGTTACCAATTTGAAATCCAAAATTTAATTCAATAAAAAAAGTTGTTATAAAAATAATTTAAATATAATGAACTTAGTTCACAAACTTTTGACTCCAATTTTATTTTTTATTAAAAATTGTATGCCTTTTTTAAATATTTATGTTAATTAAGTTACTTTTTAAAAGACACCATTCCGATTCTTTGTTAAAAAAACAATACCATTAGTATTTTCTTTTAGTCACTGTATTAGTGAGTTAAACTCTAATTTATAAACAGGTATTACCAAGTGATAGTAAAATCATTTAAAGGATTTTTTTTTAACAAAAACTAAAAAAAGTAACGAAATAGACATTGGTATCACAACGGACTGGGGTACACAAAGGACTTAATCAGATAACGTAAAAAACAAACTATATAGGGTGGTACGATTTTAGAGTACTGCATAAACAAAATCCCGTGTAGTGGTGCTCACTTGCAGAATAAACACTTAGATTTCTAAATTATGGACACCCTTTTTCTTTGACTATAAGCTGGTGTCTTTTCGTACTTGTATATTGCGTGGAATTTTCCCTTGGATGTAATCTATATCATGAGTTGTAATCACAAATAATTTTAAATTGGTTTATCATAAACTACTTTTAATAAAAGCGACGGTAAATATCCACTTTGTTGTCGAAAAATTCTATTGCGTTACATTAAATTCCATTGCGTTACCATAAGGTAACGTAATGGACTCGGTAACGCAGTGGACAAAGTTTTGTGAAACCATATTTAAAAAATAATAATAAAACATTACAGTCATTAATTACTCTCAATGAGCTTTAGTGCCCTAAAATAAACATAAACATGAAAAATGGTATTTTTTCTTACCTTATTTTTATTATTTTTTTAAGTAACTTAGCTGACAAACAATTATTGCATTCGCGTTACCTGCACCTGTTCCAACCGATATCTTCTTTCTGATTGAATAAATAAATTCAGCTGGGTAATGTGTACGTCCGAACATCATTTGTTGATCACGTGAGTGCCAAAAAAGTTGCCATATATATGTTTTTTTAATATTCTATCGGTAACGCGACGGACGTAACGCAACGGAAAAATTTCTGGGACACGAGTCAAATTTAAAAAAAGTAGATTAAAATTAATTATTTTATATATAAATTGTTTACTGTATTAACTAAGGATGTTATGGATTGCTATAAAGCAACACAAAGTTCTGGTTATTCAATATTAAAAAAACATGTAAGTATGTAAGTTTTATAAAACGCTAATGGGACATGCGAAAATGTGTGTTTCACAAGTTTCAAAATTAAAAAAAAATTATTCTGAAATAACTAAACAAACATTTTCTGAAAGAGTTTACTAAGGGCTTGTTAGGCTTTCACTTGGTTTTTAAATCAATAAGATCCGATAATTTTTAACAAAGGTGGAATTCAAACTTACGGACAGCGGAAGGCGGGTGTTTTTTGAAAACGACTCATGTATATTCATATATGTATATTTTAAAAAATGGACGTTTTGTTTTCAAGGCTTTGGTGCACATTTCAACAGCTTATTCAAACAGCCCTATAATAAATGTGGAAGAAAAAGTTTATACACCCTGTATATCTCCAGACTCGTTGTTAAAAATAGTACAAAATGAGGTTCCGGATTATAAAGAAAAAAGGTTAGAATAAAATGGATATATTTTTCTCAACGCCGCAAAAATATAATTTTTTTTGTTCTAGTATTATAGGAGAATGGCCCAATACATACAGCTTCACAAAAAACATAGCTGAAGCTGTTATTCAAGAAGCAGCGAAAAATATACCGGTTTGTATAGTAAGACCTTCCATAGGTAACTAAAATATGTAATAGTAATGATATTTTCATTAAGGTCTATTTATTTAGTTATTTCAACTATTGAAGATCCAATACCGGGTTTCATCGATAACAAATATGGCGCTGTGTCCGGTTATCTGGCAATAAGTTTGGGATTTATAAGAACATTACATGTAAACAATTACGATGTTAAACTTGATATGGTACCAGCGGACTTTGTAGCTAATTCCATATTAGCTGCAGCATGGAATACAGCTATACAACCGTAATAAGTCTTAGTTGTGACGTCACAAGTATCAAGTATAAAGTTGCAGTTTGCAATGTTGTCAGTTAATATTTGTTTCTTGAAATTTGTGACTTTTTACTTTCTATATTTCTATTAAACGCCATAGAGAATGCCTTGCTCTATTGCTTTCTATAAAGAGAATTTTCTATAGAATTCTGGTACCTATACATATATTCCATACGAAATCAACCACTTTTGACTCCGACCCATTTCGATTTTTTCCAAATAATATTAAAAAATTAGTTAGAACTATCCCGGACAACATTCGTGATATTCATACCAATATCATGTCGTGATTTTCACAAATTTTATTCATACTGATATCATACGGAAGTCACCACGTGACAAATGAAAATCATACGAACGTCACGTCGTGATTTTCACAAATTTTATTCATACGGACATCAACCGGATGTCACTGCGTGAGAAATGAAAATCATGTCGTGATTTTTTATGCCAACGGTGTTTGGATAATCATTTTTGCGCCACGTTCGTACACTAAGAGAAAAATTATGTTGAATCAACAGTTGTTGCGGTTTAATACATTAAATATTTTCTTGGATTTAAATTAACTATATAATATATTTAAATTAACTATATTATAGTTAATTTAAATCCAAGAAAATATTGAATGTATTTAACTACAAAAACTGTTGATTCAATATATATGTAGGTATACTTTTCCTCTCAATGTACGAATGTGGCGCAAAAATAAATATCCAAACACCGATGGCATAAAAAATCACGACATGATTTTTTATGACATCGGTTGTCCGGGTAGGTTTTAAATTCGCAGTTCGCAGGGCTCATACGCATGCGCAAATTTTGCAAATATCACACCGTGAGTTCTACATGATATTACTGTGATGAAGCATGATAAAAAATCACGTTGTGATATCATCATGACTTCACCAGGAAATCCCGATTGTTGTCCGGGTATCATTTATTTTTTTCTTACTTTTTCGAAAAACATTGCAAATTTTTTTCTCTCTACATACTCAAAAAATCCCCAGATGTGTATGTATTATGAGAAATTAGCTGAAAAAATTTTTTTCAATTGCAAAAAAAAACGAAAAAACGCAGAAAATGTCAAAGTTTATAATAGGGTAGGAAAAGATAAAAAAGTTTCAGCCATACAGGCGTCAAAAGTGGTTTATTTGGTATACAGGTCATTCAAAGATACTTGTGACAGTAAATACAATTAACCCCTATTTATTTGTGTTTTTTTTAGTAAATCCGATGACGCAACTGTGTATAATTGTGTTAATAACCATGATAACTATTTGACGCTAAGTATATTAAGTTCATACAACTTTAAATACAAGATAATTATTTTTTTGTTTTAGGACATTGTGTAGAAGGTACTATTTTGGAAAATTCCAAATGCCCCACTTCAAAACAATTTTGGTATCCATTTCTATTGCCAGTAAAAAGTAGAAATTTATACTTATTTTTGGATTTTTTGTTGCACCATATACCCTACTATACTGTGGACTACATTTTATATTTCCTGGGAAAGGAAACAATGTAATATCTTAAATTTCTCACAACAAATTTAAAACAGTTATATTTTAGATTGTACAGTACATACAAGGCAATGGAACCGATAAGAAACATGTTCCCGTACTTTCTAAACAGAGAATGGAACTTCGAAAACAAAAACTTCCGAAATTTACACCAAAAATTATCAGTCACAGAAAAACGGATATTTAATTTTAACATGGGATCTATAAACTGGGACGATTATGCTTACTATTTTCATAGGGGGGCTAAGCAATATTTACTTAAGGATACTGAACCCCTTGAAAACTCCAGGAAAAGATTTAAGTTGTTGAAAATATTACATTTTGGTGTTATTGGAATTATGATAATGTTTTTGTTGTTTGGAATTCTGTTTACTCTACATAAGTGTTTTTAGGTAAATTATTTATTTGCTAATCTGGGACGACACCTTGAAAATTCCAAGAAACGATTTAAATTTTGATATTGTTATTAGGTTATTTAATAAAATTAATTATTTAATAATCACTTATTTATTTGTTTTATTAATACAAACAAACATTATATAAAAACATATTTTTAACTTATATTATAATCACATGTATTTGTCCAATATAATATAAAACCCCATGTCTAGGTATAGTTACCTATCTACCCAATATCTCTCAAATACGACTTTAGATAAAATTGCTTGACAAGCAAAAACAAAAACTTCTTCGCATTATGCATAGAATTCAAGGGATCCTGAATCTAGAAAAAATAGTATAGAGAGTATAAATCGAGAAAAAATTGGTTTCTTTCTTAGCACTGTTTTCACTTACTTGTTTCAGTGCTAGCTCCGCGCATTCCTTTATTTGTCCTTGCGATTGCCCGAAATCCAAGGACAGTAGCAACTTGACGCAATCAGTGTTGCCACCAGGTTGGCCAACCTTAAAGGGGGCGTTTTCCTGGTGACGAACCATCCTGGGTTCCCCCTTCATGTCGGGAAGCTGAGCCAAGATATAACCCGCCAAGGCTCTGCACAAGAATCTAAAACTGTCGAAAATTTTAGATTTTAATTTGATTGGGGGTGTTTGTTTTACTTTAGCGAGACGCCTTGTTTGCTTATTCCTATTTTGCTGAGTAAGCCTCTGCCCCATCCCAAGCTCCCCTTATCTTCTGCTAGTTCGGTTAGAATTTGGCAAAACTGGCATAAAATGGCCGCTGTGGACGGTTCATCCTTCCCGCAGTTTTTTAGTGATAATTGTAGAACGGCGCACCACAGAAGTGGTATTTTAGATTCCGTATCTTCACTGTAAACAATAAAAATATTGCAAATATTAAATACAAAAGTGCAAAAATTAAAAAAAAGACAACAAAATCGAATTCCTAATATATGGAAAGAACATTTTTCCAATTATGAATGTTTCTATACAGATGGATCCAAAGATTTGTTGGGATATGTGGACTTAAAAATACCATCGGAGAACTAAATTTTCATATGCTCAGCGAAAGTATATCATCCTCAGAAAAATAAAGGAAATTTATCTGAAGTGATTTTTGTTTACTCCAGAAGAGGAACGCAATCTACAGCCCACACAGGAAAACCAAATACTCAAAAATCTCAACAAACAAGGGCAAAAATACTACGAGGTATTACCATACCCACCAAAAAAACCTTGGTTCAAAAAAATGTTACTACTATCAAGAGGAATGCAATCTACAATCACAAGATTAGGAATTGGACATTGCAGCATTCCAAGTCATCTACATACAATTGGAATAAAATATAATCATAATTGTATCTGCGGACAGAGATATCTTACACATATTTTTCATCTGCCTTTTCAATGAAAATAAAATCAACGAGTTACAGGAAACTTTGAACTATTTGAACCAGAGAGAAACTATCACTATTTTTAATTTTCCGAAAAATTTCAACTTAAAACCATAGTAAACAAAACAATTTACCAACAATATACAGCCCACACAAAAGAGAAAAACATGGGAAAGGGATCTCCCAGACCTGCTTAATGCCCTCGCAGTTAAGACCACAAGTTGAAGGGAAAAAGAAGAACAAAGTAACGTTTATTATTCAAAGTACAATCCAAAACATAAAGCTATAGCATAAACCGTGTTAGTTTCGGAAGTGTACATGGCAAAACGATCCCGCTCGTGATCCCAAAGGAACCTGCAGGTAATAAAAACATCCTGGGAGTGTTTCTCTCCGAGCGAAATCAACGATATAATTTTGTAGCGCTCAAACTCGAACTGCTTGCACTTGTCCCTGATAACTTTGGAGGCCCATTTGGCCTTGAGAACGCAGTCTTCCGGAGTGTAATTCAACTCGTCCAGAGCCTCATCCAGAACCGATTTCAGCACGGCGTAGACTTTTTCCGGGTTGAAAGGCTGTTCGCTCTCCAATCTGTAAGTGTTCATGTATCTGGGCGCCTTCTTAGTCCCGTCGTCCACCAAGCTGCCCCTCTTGATCGATATAACGCTGCCGAGTGCCTGTCTGGTTCTGCTCGACCTCCTCTGGTCCAAACTGCTTCTGCTCTTCAAAGAGCTCCGGCGCCTATCCAGGTCCGGTTCCGCCAGCGAAATCCTTCTACCCTGACTCCCTCTGGGCGACGAAGTCACGTCCTCGTCCAACTCGGTCTTGGTTTCCTCCGCGACCGACAGCTTCAGCTGCTCTTTCGTCTCCATCGACACCTTTCGTTCGGTGGTTTTCGCCGAATCCTTCTCGACGGAAGTTCTCGTCGATGTGGAGACCGATTCCTCCGCCACCGTGTCCTCGGCCGCACTCGCGACAGCTGCGGCGGACGCGGCCGAGGACGGCTGCTCCTCCGCCACGGTGGTTTCCTCGTGCGAAGCTTCGGGTTCCGGCGCCGCAGCTTCGGCTTTCGGGGCGGCATCTTCCGCGGGCGGCGGCGCCGCGTCTTCCGGAGGCGGCGGAGCCTCTTCCGGAGGTGGCGGCGGAGAATCTTCCGGAGGTGGCGGTGGAGCCTCTTCCGGAGGTGGCGGTGGAGCCTCTTCCGGAGGCGGTGGTGGGGGTGTTTCTTCTGCGGCCGGTGGAGGAGGTTCCGGTTCAGCTGGTGCGGGCTCAGCTTCAGGTGGTGGTGGTGGTTCAGCTTCGGCCGGTGCGGGGGCTTCTTCGGGTGCAGCTTCTTCGGGTGCTGCTTCGTCAGCCATTTCGTCAGTTTTGTTTGACGTTAATAATTAACGTCAAACGGTTATTGTCAATGTCATGATTAAGTAGACAGTACCAAACTAACTACATATTTTCTTCTTATTCTTCCTTGGTGGCCAAAAGCCTTAATGATCAATGTACCATTTTGACCAGCAGCAAGTTTTAAAGTCCAAGCACTTCACGAAGCCATCCACCCATGGGTGAATTTTTCAATCTTGGAACATCCACTAAATCTTTTGTACAAATGACAAAATACCTCGCTAAATGGTGAAAGCTTGCGATATTGTCCAAAAATACAGGTGTATTTCTATACCCGGAATCCAATTTTATCCCTAGGTCCCTATTTTAAACTATTAACTTACCTGATTTTTATATTCATTAGCCAGTTTAATGTAGTATTAAGTAACGCCTCTGCATCATTATATTTTGCCATTCTTTGTACCAAAATCGCATTCAAAGATAGAATGCACCCTTTTTCAAGCAATAACTGCTCCAATTCTGATAACTTTGAAGGTAGAATGTTGATATTTTCTCCAATATATTTCCAAGAAGGTTCGCCAGCTAAAAGTAAAAATCACTATTTATAAACACTAGGGTGATTTAAAAAATCTACAATTCTTTTTTTTTTACTTCTAATAGGTATATCGAGTAAAAAAAAAAGTCAATTGTTTCAATTACCCTAGTAAACAGACTATTACCCTCAATCTACACAAGGATACTAAAAATCAAGTTGGGCAACCCACTTCACAGACTTTAACGGCGGCCATTTTTATGTTGTTTACAATTCTTGTTCTTTGGGTTTGTGCTGTTTATACATATTTAAAAAAAATCGTTGTTTCTTACAGAGGCACTTGTAAGCATTAAAGTGCTAATGGCGACCATTTTACTTCTCTTTTGTAAAAAAAAACAAACCTTATTCCATCACACAGATTATAAAGGTTCTATCAGGGCCAAATGTCAATTTTAAGAATAATTTGTGGGTACAGGAAATCTGTGGGTTATGGTAAATTAACCTTAAAATTGACATTTGATGACAGCCCTGATAGAATAAGGTTTATTTTTTACAAAAGAGAAGTAAAATGGTTGTTCTTAGCACTTTAAGGCCTCATTTAAGGCTATGTAAGAAACACAAAGTTTAAAATGATTTTTATTTAATCTGTATAACAGCTCAAACCCGAAGCACAAGAATTGTAAACAACAAAAATGGCCGCCATTGAATGATGTGCAGTGTTGCAGTGATTTTTAGTATTTGCGAAACGAGACAGATCTTGTTGTGTGGATTGTGCTATTACCTGTATTTTGAAAATAACTTGTCAATAACGTTTCCAAAATATCACCGAGCGTATTCAAGTCATTCACAGCCACACCAGCGGATTTCAAAAGACATTCCAATGTATTTGAATCGCCGGATTTATTTTTAATCCATGTCATAAAAGCCTTGCTACCGATATGACTCAAGTTCGTAATGTTTAGAATGTGAAGCATCTCGGAAATAATTTCGATTTGATCTTCAGGTGACGTCGAGATTATTTCTATTTCATTCAACTGTCTCGTTATAACGCTACTTATTTCCGACTCTTTTGAAGGAACGTGTGATTTATGTTTAGAGGAATATACCGACAGTAATTTGATGAAAGTCCTGATAAATATAAGTCGTTTGATCAGAACTTCTTTGCCGTCACTGGGTAGCGATCTATTACAGCCTGATACAGTTTTTAGGAAGCTGAAAAATGGCGTAGAAAAATATTTTCAAGGGTTTGGAGAGAACTTACTGCAATACCCTGTAGTCTAAATTAAGAGGATCATTTTTAAATATCACCGAAGAATCACAGCTCATGACGTACCAATCCAAGACATGTTGGAAAATTTGCGGTTCTAAAAAGGACCAGTCGAAGTTTTCTGCTTGTACTAGCAACGCTTTGGCCTTTTCTGAATATCTAAAATTGATTTTAATTAAGTTTGAAAGAATATATGTATGTATTTTTACCTGTTTCTAACATTTGGTTCGTTACATAACTTGACTAGTAAGTTCATGAAACACTGGTAAACCCTGCTTTTTATCTGAGGAGGGGAATTACCGAAATTATTCAACCAGTTCGGCCAATTCACCGACATAAAAATATGACCTAAAAACGAATGGCAATCTGGAAGATATTGATCTATCACCTGAAACGAAAATGTGTTCTTGGATGCGCTTTACAAAGATCGACATACTTACCCTAAGCATAAAGTCTAAATCCACAACTGAAGGCCAAAAATTATGCCAATGCAGTCCCAGAAACGTCTGATGAATGGGGTGCAAAATATGATCCTTAACAGAATTATGGGCAAAAGAAGTAACGTACCATTGCCACAGGTAACTTAAAATATTATTGCAAGCCGGCAGAGTCAATATGATAAACTGAACGCACTCGAAAAATACATGTACAACCTACAAGAAAAAACATAGCACAAAATCAAGACCTAACCACATATTTTTTTACGGCTTGCATAAGTTCTTACTGATAATAAAAATTAAAACACAATTGTATCGGAAACCCGCTTCAAAAGTGTCACAAGTAAAAATAAAGTTTTGAGATTTTTTTTACTTTTGACACTTTAAAGCGGGCGTGCGTTATTAATACCTGTATAAATGCATTTTTATAATTGTGTTACCTTCCACATTAAATAAATATAAAATTCGGTCTAGCGTAAGGTAAGTTAATTCAATCAAGTTCCACCATATCCCATTATAATTTTTCCATGTATTTTGACCCACTAAACATGAAAATTACACTCAATTTTTTTTATGGAAGGGTTTTTAAAATATGAATTTTCAATTGTTTTTTTCTGAATTTTCGGAGGTGTCTTGCCGTTTTTGAGTATAGCTTGAAATCTAATTGATCGATTTGGTTAAACAAGACCTTAAATTTATATATATTTATAAAACTTTTTTTTACATACTTTTGATAACGGATAAGTATTTTGGCGCTAGCGAATTTAATAACTTAAAATTTCCATATCTTCCTGGGAAGGGTTTAAATCAAACAGATAAACTTCAGTTTGAATTTTTGATAACGGATAAGTATTTTGGCGCTAGCGAATTTAATAACTTAAAATTTCCATATCTTCCTGGGAAGGGTTTAAATCAAACAGATAAACTTCAGTTTGAATTTTTGATAAAAATACATGGAAAAATGGCAGTTATAAATTTGGTCCCTCATACGAGAAACGAAATACGAAAGAAACAAAAAACAAAGAAGAAGCCAGAATTTTTTTAAACCTATGCTTATTAAAACAAAATAAAACTTTCAATATCTTCAATGTTCAATATTTATTGTTTAATATTCAATATATAATTTAATTTCAATATTTAGTGTTTAAAATTAAATTTTATATAAATAATTCAATAAAATGAAGAAAAAAGGTAAAAATTCTTGAAAAACTGAATTTTGCTCTTCCACTGAAAAATTCATAACTTCGCCATTTATCCATGGATTTTTAACAAGAGCAGCTTAAGCCCGCTGCACAATAGCCCGGCAACGGGAACGAGAACGGGAATCCTAACAATAAAGGTGGGAGAGACTAAAAAACCACTGTTGATAGATAGGGTTCGCTGAGTCTCTCCCACCTTTACCGTTTATTTTCCCGTTCCCGTTACCGGGCTGTTGTGCAGCGGGCTTTATTTTCCTTTAAGTATAATCTATACTTAAAATAAATTAAACTGGACTTATCTTTTCGATTTCTATCCATCCCAGAAAGATATGTAAATTTTCGACCTCGATTTTTGTAAAAAAAAAGGACTTTTTCAACTTTATAAAATCGCCAGTATCGAACTACTGAGCCGATACCAAAACTATACAAAAGAAAGTTGTAGAGGGCTTAATTACCTTTGATTTAAGTGCTCGTTTGGTCAAATCGATCAATTAGAACTCGAAGTATACTGTAAAACGTCAAAACACCTGAGAAAATAAAAAAAAAACAATTGAAAATTCATATCATGAAAACGATTCCATGAAAACAATTTTAAGTGTGATTTTCGCGTTTAGTGAGCCAAACTAACTAACATTTGTTACACTTAATAATTGCACCCAGGCCGTCCCTATATTTATAAATTTTCGAATATAACGTGAATTTGCAGTGCAAATAACATTCCAACTTTTGGTTCGCACATGACGTCACACGGTGCACACATGCGCATCAGCCTACTTACTTTCTGAGCGAATCCCCCATCGGCCGGTATCCAGGGCAACAAAACCGACCTATCGTCGGCGAGTTGCTGTATCCAGGAGGCCATGTTGTCCTTGAGATTTTGCATCGAATAGGGTACCAACCACGGGGCGAACATGTCCCTGAGCAGGGGCCATATTTTTTCGCACAATTGATCGTCCAGCTTGCCTTGGTGGACGTTCAGAGTGCTTATGACCAGACCGTGACCGGTCATGCCCATGTAGAGCACGAACACGTCCATGTAGTTCCTGCATTTGGGGTACAGCCCGTACAAACCGTACTGGAAGCGCTCCTTGGTGAAATGCCTGGCCAGCAGCTCGGCAGTTTCGAGCAGCTCTTGGTGCTGCAGCATCTTTTGGTGCTGAGCGTACTGTCTGAGTTGCTCCCGGGGCGAAGCTTTCAAATTGAACTGCACGGGGTAACCGAGGGAATTTAAAACGTCCAACCAAACGGAAACCGACAGCAAATTGGTATCAGCATTTGCGTTTGAAGCTTTTAGAAGCTGCACGATGACTTCGCCGTAGTGCTCCGGAAATTGGAAGTTGAAAACGGTTAACAAATGTTTTCTGTATAAGTTATGGAGCATGAGGGATTGGACTGGTGGGTCAAAACCAAGAGACGTTAAAGCTCTCACCACGGTTTGTATAAATTGAGATCTGTGACTTAATTTTGGTTCTTTCGTTGTCAGCCATGTTTCCACCTCAAACTGAATACAATGTTAAAACAAATATATATAAAATTCAATAGAAACATTACCTTGGAAAGTAGCGCAAAAGCTATATCATACTTCTGCCCTATCTCCTTCGATATAGTGGAGTACATCGTCAGTAAATTTATGGTACCAACTTTACTAGGGGAAAAATGAGGCGCCAAGTAACCCCCTAGGTTTGGTTCTTTAAGTATTCTATCCAGAAGCCTGGGCATTTCCGGTTCGGAATTACAAATATGCGACTGAAAAATATTGAATGTAAGTTGTTTATATTTTTTTAGTATTTTGTTCACCTGTCCCAATCTTTCAAGGCACGATGTTAATAGGTTTTTTGTCGGGGGGTAGTTTAAAATCTCCTCCGACATAAGAGATAGTAAATAGTAAAATAGTTCCACTCCTAACTCTGCGGTAGCAGGGTTACATCTAATTTGTTGCTGCAATATTCTACAAAAATACAGTTTTGGAATTTAATAAAAAAACCGGTGCTTGTTCTTGGAAGTTATACTTTTTTAACGTAACTAAATAAATGAAAAAAAACGTGAAAATGATCCAATTAATAAAGTGCTTTTGATGAGAACCAAAAGTCCCAATAAGTCTGGGGTAAAGCATATTTGAAATAAAGCACAATGACCAGGTGCCATTATCGTAAGTAATAAATGTTTGATTAAAAAACATAATTTTGAATATTTTGTAAATTTCGTTTAAAAAATTTCAAATTTTTACAAACTTTAGAAATTAATTTTTTTTAAAATTGGAACTGTGCCAATTTTTTCTTACCATTTTTTAAATTTTTTCCACTATTTTTTTATTTTGAACTAATATGCGAATTTGGTCTGTGAAGCATCTCGGAAATAATAATTTTGAAAATTTAGTAAATAAATATCGTTAATTTTAAAAATTTCAATTTTTTTAAATTTTTACAAATTTTGGAATTTTGAACATTTTAATTATTTATCTAATATGTACTTAATTTTAAAAAAATTCAATAATTCTGAACATTATTTTTTTTCTAATTGTGCGTATTTTTATCTTAACCAGGGCTGGTAAATATCATGATATTTATATAAATATCCAAATATCTGATATATACATTTATACATTTATATGTACATACATATATCAAAATTTGGATATTTATTTAATTTTTTTATTTTAACTATTTTTTGCTTAGAGAATTAAATATATATATGTATATATGTATATGTTTAAAATTCAAAATTACTTAATTTAATATAATTTTAAAATTTTATAAACATGTAAATTTGTTTTCAATTCTATTCAATGAGAGTTGCTATCACAAGTTTTTTTTAGTACTAGTATGTATAGAAATGTAAAATGTAGGTTCCCAGAATAACTGGGCCTGTTAATTAAATTAAAATGAACCCAAACTGGATTTTTTATTTTTGGCATTGTAAAATTTTTATTTGATAAAATCTAATCTAAAATCGGAAGTAGAAAAACAACAAAAAATGAATTTTTGGATTTTTTTAAGTTATAAGCTTTTAAATAAATTGTATTATTAAAAAAATACTAAAAATAACTTGACCATAATGATATTATATTGGCACTACTTTTTCAACAAATAAACCACAATCTGCAACTGTCATATATTTTTTATCCTGCCAGCCTTGATCTTACCATTTTTTAATTTTTTTCCACCATTTCTTAATTTTGAACTAAGTAATATGCGAATTTGTTCTGTGAAGCATCTCGGAAATAATAATTTTAATTATTTTGTAAATATCGTTAATTTTAAAAATTTCAATTTTTTTTTAAATTTTTACAAATTTTGGAATTTTGAAAACTTTAAAACATTTAATAATTTTAAAAAATGTCAAAAATTTGGGAAATTATTTTTTTTTTAATTGCAAATGACCATTTTCGATTTTTTTTTTAATACTAGTGTGCTAATTTATCTTACCATTCTTTAAGTTTTTTCACTATTTTTTAATTTTGAACTAATATGCGAATTTGTTCCGTGAAGCATCTCGAAAATATTAATTTTAAATATTTTGTAAATTTGGTTAATTTTAAAATTTTCAATTTTTTTAAGTTTTGGAATTTTAAAAATTTAAAAATATTTAATAACTTAATTAAATTTTATTTTTTTAATTAGAAATTACCATTTTAGATTTTTTAATTCATGCTACTGTGGGAATTTATCTTAAGATTTTTTAAACTTTTTCCACTATTTTTTAATTTTGAACTAATATGCGGATTTGTTTTGTGAAGGATCTCGGAAATAATAATTTTAAATATTTTTAAAATTTGATTAATTCTTTTTTACAAATTGTGGAATTTTGAAAGTTTTAAAATATTTAATAATTTTATAAAATTTCAAAAAAAAAATTAAATTGGAAATTTTTTTAAATTAATGGTACTGTGCGAATTTATCTTGCCATTTTGTAATTTTTTTTCACCATTTTTTATTTTTGAACTAATATGAGAATTTGTTCTAGCATTTTTTTAATGTAAGGGCACTTTTCAATTATCCAATCACTTTAAATCACTTTAATAGGGCACTTGGAATACTTAAAATCGTTTAAAACATATTTTCGATATCACAGCAAAATAATTTATTTTACTTTACGCGCCAAAAAAAGTACGACTTCAATATTCAATACCTCAAAACCTTGTTTTTACTTAAGAAAGAAACAAACCTTATAGCTTGTTGTAGAGTTATAGAGGAGGTACATAACACCAAAGCAGGGGCTTGCAGACTTTTCGCTAACAAAGACTCGTAAGCGTTTCTGTTCGATTGTATTTGATGGTCAATTCTATCGTTGATTCTAGCCTCCTCCATTTCCAAAATGACTACTGCAGCTCCCGAACAGTGCACTGTTTGATTTTTGCCCTTACACGGCACCTTCTTCTTTACTTTGTTCAAAACAGACCTAAAATAGCATTTATCGATGACAAAATCCGTTTAATTTGCTGGGAATCTCACCTATACAACTGCGGCATCAACTCCTGATAGGAACAATCCAAAGCCTTATGTTCGGATATTTTCATGATATGATTACTAAAAAAAACCACATTACCAACCGAAAACATACTTCGAACACCGCACCTACTGTGAGAACTGTATTAGGGTCTTGAAAGCCACCTCCAAACTCTTGATCATGTCCTCTTTGCAGGAAAAGTTGAGGGGCGCGATGACAGGCGCGCTATGCGCGACCTCTGGCGGCGGTTTCGGCGGGTCGTACGATTGCAGCCTGCGCAGTATTCTTTCGACCGGGTTGGCACTTTCCATCGTTTTACCCGGCCCGAGCAGGGGCTGATTCACGTTTGTTTTCTCCCGGAAGTTGCAGACGCGCCAAGTTTTTATCGAGAGTTGCTGATCTTTCTTTAACTTCTCGTAGTCCAGGTATTCGTACCACGGGGTCTAAAGCAAAATGTGATAACTCGGGGTTGTATTCCCTTGTGGAAATTTTTCTCTGAAAAAGTCTTACTTTCTCTGAAAAAGTCAGAATAAGACTTATTAAGTCGGAAAAAGTCAGAATAAGACTTATTAAGTCGGAAAAAGTCTGAATAAGTCTTATTAAGTCAGACTAATAGCAAGATTTGGGAGTCTTCTGGAAGAGTTAATAGGACTTTTTAAGACTTAATAAGACTTTTAGTAGAGAAATGGTAGGTACCTACGGAGATAAAAATAAATATCCGAAATAATTCATAGAGGTTGTATTTGGTTATTGTAAAATAAAACACATAGAAACGTATTTATTAACATTTTTGCTGTTGTTATAAGCCCAGTTTATTGCATAATTACCTATATAATAACATAGGAAAGATGTAATAACTATAACAATTATAATTTTATACACACGATGCTCTTGACATGCATGCTTTCATTGTTTCCACCATAGAAAAAGCAGTTGCCACTGTACGTTTTATTTTAATACACGCAAATATTTACCTCTCTAAACATTGTTACAAACAAATCTTCTAGACGTAATATCGAGAGACCAGCTCAGCTAGCTGACCAATTAGAGCACAGCTGACCTGTCAGTGGGACACAGTGTTGCCGTTTGCAAATATTTTACTCGAAAATCGGGTATTTTCGTAATATTTGCGGGTGATTTGCAAATTTCTATCAAAACAATAACAAAAGAAATTTTTAGTAAATAATATTGTATATTTACTAAATTTGCACAATTATTTTATTCTATCCTGTTACATTTTTATTATTATTTTAGTTATTTGTAATTTATGGTCAGGAACTTTTATGGCAACACTGTACGTAAACACGAAGATCAACCATAAATATTTGTCTTATGAGTCTATCGAAAATATCATGTCTATGGACATGATATTAACTCCTTTTTCTATGGTGGAAACAATGAAAGCATCTCAAGCGCATCGTATGTATAAAATTATAATTGTTATAATTATTACATCTTACCTATGTTATTATATAGGTAATTATGCAATAAACTTGGCTTATAACAACAGCAAAAATGTTAATAAATACCTTTCTATGTGTTTTATTTTACGATAACCAAATTCAACCTCTATGAATTATTTCGGATATTTATTTTTATCGCCATAGGTACCTACCATTTCTCTACTAAATCTTATTAAGTCTTAAAAAGTCTTATTAACTCTTCCAGAAGACTCCCAAATCTTGCTATTAGTCTGACTTAATAAGACTTATTCAGACTTTTTCCGACTTAATAAGTCTTATTCTGACTTTTTCCGACTTAATAAGTATTATTCAGACTTTTTCAGAGAAAGTAAGACTTTCTCAGAGAAAAATTTCCACAAGGGTTTAGTGATATTTACGATCTTACGTTGCTACCCCTGCATGATTTCGTTAAGTAAAGCTGATTCATATTGAGGTGGTAAGTTCGATAATAATATATTACTTTCTTGCAGTCTAGGTTCCTCTAGCCACAGCGAAAAAGCCTTAAAAATCCTTAAAACAACACATTAACAACTTAACAACCTTAAATTAACTGAAAAAATACTTTAACAAAGTCCTATAAAACTCCTTTTTCTCCAATTCATCATTATCCTCGTCCTTGACGTCCAATAAACCCTCGTAATAATCCACAGTCTCTTGCAACCTCTTCTTAATCCTTTTAAAATACTGAAAATTCACCAGACCGTCGAAGAATTTCTCCCCCACGCAACCCTTATCTACAAAACTACGCAAAACATCAGTTTACAGCACTTTACAAGCCCAAGATCGTACCTAGAACCTGGCAACCTCGCCAAAAACAAACAGAAGAATTTCTGCCATAAAAGCGGCAACATCGGATGATCGAGAGGCGTGTCCATGGCTTGCTGCGCAAAGCGATAGATGCACAGCGAGGCAGATGCGACAGAGGCTGTTTTTTGGACACTTGCGGCTTTCTAGAAAAATGTTAATATCTTTATTTTCTCCATATTTCAGAAGTAGATTTTGTTGAAATATTAGGTTATGTATCCTAACCTTTATAGCTTGGTCGACGTTAATTTTTCCCTTCTGCTTGCTCAATTGGACCAGTAATTCTTTCCACAATCCGGTTTTTTGTTCGCGTTCTACATGTTCAAGCTCTATCATTATGTAAGCGATGTAGGTATAGGATGTTAGAGAACTGAGTAAAAGGCTACCATTTGTATTTGCACTTGATACCCATTTGAAGAGTGATGATATTGTTCCCGATTGTTCTTGAGGTGTGGAACACTATTGAAAACAATAATAAAAAATATTGTATCGCAAAGTATAAATCGGCTTTTGGTATGAGAAATATGTCCTTATTCAAGCTCTTTTAAGCCTTTAATTTATTAGCTTTTAAGCTTAAAATTTGGAAAAGTATGGAGATGTTGAATATTTTTCAATTTGTAAAATTTTGGCGCGAATTTTTCTCGCAATTTTTTAATTTTTAACTGCTGTGCGAATTTATCAAGTAGATTGAGAATAGTATAATAAAACTCACAATTGTGTCCTCAATTAAGTTTTCAGCCTTTTTTAACTTTGAAGCTTTTTTTAACTTTTAAGCCTAAAATTTGGAAATTTGAAAATTTTTTTTTCACAATGTTTTTTATTTTTAAATACTGTAGAAACAATCTGCTTATGGTGCGAGAAATATTATAATAACACAAATTTTTCAGTTATTAAGCTTTTTTTAGCTTTTAAGCTTTAGGATTGAAATATGTGAAGTTGGAGATTTTAAAAAATTTGTAAATTTAGAAGATTTCGAAAATTTTGAGAATTTCGAAGATTTAATTTTAAAGATTTTGTACTATTGTGCAAAATTATTCTAATTTAAGAATCTTAAGAATTTTAGAGATTCTAAAATTTTAAAGATTTTGTAAATTTAAAATAAATTGCGAATTTGTCCCACAATTTTTTAATTTTGAAAGAATGTGAGATATTTCAGTTTTTTAAGCTTAAAATTTTGTAAATTTAAGTGAATTTAAAAATTTGAAGAATTTTGTAGAATTTAAATTGTAGGGAAATTTTAGAATTGTGTAAATTTTGAAAATTTTGGCCCGAATTTTTTGTACAATTTTTTAATTTTAAACTACTAAGCGAATTTATTTTGTTCTTAAGTGAAAACAATCTGCTTATGGCTCAAGAAATATTATAATAACACGGGGTTTTCAGTTTTTTAAGCTACAAAGCTTTTTTTAGCTTTCAAGCTGTTTTAGGCTTGAAATTTATAAAAATTATGCAGATTTTAAGATTTTTGTAAGTTTGAAAATGTTGAGAATTTGAAGATTTTAAAATTTTTGTAATTTTAAAGATTTTGAACATTTTGGAGCGAAATTTTCCCTCAATCCTTTAATTTTGGACTACTGTGCTAATTAATCCTTATTTAGGGATTCAAAAACTTTGAGAATTTTAGAGATTTTAAAATTTTTGGAAATTTTAAAAATTTTGTGAGAATTTGACTAACAATTTTTTAATTTTGTACCAATGTGCGAATTTATCCTGAAGTAGAAACAATCTGCTTTTGGTATCAGAAATAATAACACAATAATACACATAAAAACACATATAGGTAATACATATTATGTATGTCCTTAATCAAGCTTTTCAGTTCTTTTTTAAGTTTTGAAAAACTTCTTTTAGCTTTTACAATTTTGAAATTTGTAAATGTGGCTCGAAGTTTTCCCACAAATTTTTAATCTTGAACTACTGTGCAAATTTATCCTAAATTAGAAACAATCTACTTATGGTATTGAAATTGAAATGAATTTAAAAATTTTGTAATTTTAAAAATTTTGAAAATTTTAAAAAATTTGTCCCACATTTTTTAAATTTTGAACCAATGTGCGATATATAATAACACATCAAGCTTTTTTTAGCTTTTAAGCTCAAAATTTTGTAAATTTAAGTGAATTTAAAATTTTTAAGGATTTTGAAAACTTTAAATTTTCTAAAAATTTTCCCTTAATCCTTTAATTTTGAACTACTGAGCAAATTTATTGTAATTTAGGAATTCAATTTTGATAATTTTGGAGATTTTAAAAAATTTGAAAATTTTGGCGCGATTTTTTTCCACCAATTGTCAATTTTGAAGTACTGTGCGAATTTTTGTAAATTTTGAAGATTTTGAATATTTCAAAAAATTTGGAAATTTTTTCCAACTTATTGTTAATTTGGAACTAATGTACGAATTTTTGGAATTTTTAAAAATTTTGAATATTTCAAAAAATTTGGAAATCTGAAAAAATTTTCCCACAATTTTTTATTTGGAACCACTGTACGAATTTGTCCTACCAATTTTAAAATTATGCTTATTTCCGTTCCATCTTTCGTAACGCCAAGTTTTGTTTTACCCTGTTCGCAAAGAAATTTAACTTTAACTATTTTTTATAAAGATGTAGATATTTTTTAGTTTTATATTATAATTACCTGTATTAATTCCCTTAGAATGTTGTAGGCCACATCAAGGGCGTCTCTATGAAAGAAAGCTGTTTTTACTATAACATCCAATAGGTATATGACACCGAAATCCCTATTCCAATTCGGTATGGAAACCAAAGAATTCATCCACAGTCTAACCAAGACTCTCGGGCTTTCCAAGTCGTAGTAAGTGTAGTTGACGATCTGCGTCTCAATCATGTTGCCGAACTGTTGCAGAACTGTACTCTGAACCCCTATCAAACTCTTCGCCATGGAAATGTAACCCCTATCGGCGTTCAGCAGGTTTTGCAGCACCTCTTGATACTTCTCGCAGTTTATAATGCACTCCTGGCTGTCGATGAACAGCGGCATTATTTCGTACAAAGCGAACAAGACGGCCTCGTGCTTTTGGTGGTGCTGCAGAAACGTCAGCTGGGGCAAACCTTTCGAGCATATCAGAGGCACCGCGTGGCCCCAAGAGGTCATCAAGACGGCAACGAAGCTCGCCAAAGGCTTCTGTTCCCTGACGCCTTTGCTCAAAACGTCGAACTTCTCCAGATCCTCGACTCTGCCGAACTCCTGGAACTTCTTGTCGTTTATGTGCAACTTGAGCCTCAGCACGGTCTGCCACGCCCACTGCAAGTACCCCGGCTCCAAGTCCGCCGCCTGCACCGCCAACACGGCAACGTCGCAATGCGTTTCGTACGGGATGTTATCCCAGTTCAACCTGGACAGTATCATTCTCGTCAGCTTGCTCTCGTTAGAGGTTATGGGGTTGTTCAGCAGTAGTTTGGAGAGGGTTTTGAGGTCCACCTCCTCGATTTTCCAGATCGTCAGCGGCAGTTCTTCGTAGAGATAGAGGGCCAGTTCTTTTATGGTTTCCATGTTTTCTTTGACTTTTTTGAGGATGTTTGATAGGAGGTGCGGGTGTTTTGAGGTTATGTGGGTGAGCAGGATTTTCGAGGATTTTGAGCAGGTGTCCTGGGTGGATTCGTTTATAAAGCCAATCTGCAAATCAGTTTATGTTGTAATGATTTATATCATATAAATCATTATCATCATAATTAATAAATATACCAAATCGACCATTTTTTATTTCAATTTGGCTACAACTTTTCCTTATTTTTCAAATATTTTTAACTTTCTCAAAAATTTTTGTTTTTAAATGTACTTTTCAGATAAATAGACAAAAATTATTCAGACCTATCCTTAAACGTTTTTTTTAATTTCTCGATTGTTTTTTTTTATTTTTAATTAGAAACATTTACTGCAAATTCTCTGAAATATTCAGAGTGGCGTTAGAATAGAATATAGTTCCGAATAATTTTTTTATATATTTTTTTTAAAACTAAATTTAAAAACAAAGAAAATGAAAGATAATTTTATACACAATAGCTATAAATACAATAAATAAAATTATTTAATTAACTATGTATATTTTAATTAAACGAATTTCATCACAAATTAACCTCTTAAAATTTTTTAAATTTGGAAAATTTTGGCGCGAAATTTTCCCAATTTTTTTTATTTTGAACTATTGTGCGAATTTATCCTAAAGTAGAAACTATCTGCTTATGGTATGGGAAATATAACACGTATTTCCTTTCATCAAGCTTTTAATTTTTTTAAGCTTTCAAGCTTTTTTTTTAGCTTTTCAGCTAATATTAAGCTCAAAATTTTAAAAATTTAGATGAATTTAAAATTTTTGAGAATTTTGGAGATTTTAAACATTTTGAAATATTTGGGCGAATTTGTCCCACATTTTTTTAATTTTGAACCAATGTGCGATATTTTATAATAACACATTAAGCTTTTCAGTTTTTTTAAGCCTAAAAGCTTTTTTTAGCTTTGTGGGAAATTTAATAATTTTGTAGAATTTAAATTTCCATCACAAATTAACCACTTAAAATTTTTAAAATCCAGTTGTTTATCCAATAATGAACCAAATAACATTTTTTTTCATTTTCTTTGATTTTAAATACAATAAAAAAAATAAAAATATTCATTCTATTTTTTTCTTCCTTATTTGAAAAATATAATTTCAATGATTATTACCACTTTTAATAATTATTATTGTTTTTTTAATCTTTTTTCATTATGAGAAATTAGCTGACTAAACTTCAATTGAAGAAAAATAGAAAACGAAAAAACGCCACTGAAAACATTGAGAAAAAATATTTTTTTCTGAAAATTAAAAAAAAACGTTCAAGATCAGTCTGAATAATATTTTTCTTTATTTTTCGGAAAAGCACATACATGTATAAAAACAAAAATTTGAAGAAAGTCAATTTTTGAAAAAGTTAGATGGTTTAAAATTAAAGTGCCATTTTTTTGAAAAATTCATAACTTTTTTGTGTTGAGTAAAAAAAAATTGAAAAATGTTTTTAATAGGGTAGAAAAAAATATTTTTTTTTGCCAAATCAAAAGGTACAAATATTTTTATCCCTTTTTTGAAAAACATTTTTTCAAGTTTTCAGTTTTATTTTTTTTTTCAATCTTTGAAATTCTTTTTACATTATGAGAAATAAGCTGACTAAACTTTAATTGAAAAAAAATAGAGAACGAAAAAACGCCACTGAAAATTTCAGAGAATTTGCAGAAAATTTCAATTTCTAATAAAAAAATAAATAAAATTTGGCAATTTAAAGAGGAAGTTTTTTATGGGATGTCAATATAAAAATGTAATAAATAGGAAAACATAATGGGAGGAGAGTTCCATTATGATAAATATAAGAAGGGTTAAGCGTAGCAAGTTTGATTATGTAATTCAAAACATTTATATATTAATGCCTAGACAAGCTATAAGCTTATTGAAATGTATATACATATATGTAATAATAAATAAGTAATAATTAAATAATAAAAAAAATTCATGAGAAATTTTCGTTTTTTTACGAGAATTAGAAAAACTTTGAAGATCAGTCTGAATAATATTTTTCTATAATTTTCGGAAAAGCACATACCAATAAAAACAAAAATTTGAAAAAAAAATTTGAAAATTTTGAAAAAGTTATAGTTAGATGTTTGAAAAGTGCCATTTTGTGAAAAATTTATAACATTTTTGTGTTGCGTAAAAAAAATTTGAAAAATGTTTTTTATAGGGTAAAAAAGCTAATTTGAAAGGGGTAGGGGTCAAAAGTGGTTGATTTGGTATATACATATGTATATCTCAAATAACCAATAGTATTTTCATTAAAAAGAATCACTTTTTTACCTGTAATAAGTCCATAGCTGCCGTGTGTATAAACTCCATGTCGTCATCAGACCTGGCCAGCGCCATGTTGGCGAAAGTGTTCAGCAAATAATAAGTCTCGGCATCCTCCAAATTATTAACCTTCTCCTCAAACTGGCTCCTCAAAGTTTGCTCCCAAAGCATCTTGCTGTAATCCTTATCGTCCAAGGGGCTCAAAATATCCTTCGCCACGCTGTCGCTGCTGTGCAGAAAATAAAAGATCTTCCACAGAGTCCCGACGGTAACTAGATGGTAGGGCACCACGGCCAAAAACTGCCACGCCCCCAACTTTTGCGAGGAGTACAGATAGAAAATCGCCCTGAGGAAGAAGGCGTCGTACTCGACCTGCAACTTGGCAACCATGGCCGCGTCGGAGCCGTCCTGGGTGGCCAGGAACTGCTCCCATTGGTCGGTCGCGTACTGCGTCACGTGACGTATGAAGCGGCTGAGCCGCTTCGAGAACTGATTGTAGCGCGCCTGGCGGTACGTGTCCAAACCGCGGTGGAATATCTTCAGGAGCGTCGTGGAGAAAGAGAAGAAGCGCAGGATGTGGTGCTCGGAAAGAAGCGAAGCGTCGTAGCAGTCCTTTAAGTTTCTTTTTTGTATCAGCAGCAACGATCTGAACATGTTATCGAGTGGCAGCTGGTTGAGGAGTGCCACAAGGTCGTTTTCGCGCAGGGAAGTGCCGGATGTTTCTTCGTCTTCCTCACCTTCCGAGTCCACCATCACCCACAGCGCCTCTGTGGCTGTGTCTGAACCCTGAGCAATCTAAAAGTTTGTATTTTAATTTTTTAACTTCAAAATTTGCTTCTAGATTCTTTTGTCTCAAATTACTTTTTTAGATCTGGCGTGAAAAAGTGAGGTTAAAACCATTTGACAGATGTCAGATTGGGAAAAATTGAGGTTAAACCTCTGGTTTTAAAGTGTAGGAAAAAACCGGAAAAATTGTGAAAAAACCTGTTTTTTCCGTTTTTTCCCAGGCCTTGGAAAAGTTGTCTTTTTTGGGAAAAATTCATTTTTTTCTTGAAATTATACACATTTGAAAAAAAGTAATAAAAATAAATTTAAAAAAATCATTTATTACAAAAAAAATAAAACTAAACATTAAATTAAATTTAAGAAAATAAACGTAAACGTGAAATATACTGTCTGTTGGGTTTTTTTGTTGCAAAAAGGAGTCCATTCAAAATATCTAACTACAAAATAATGAATGATTTATAAAGTTAAATTATATTATTATTATAATTTTATAAATCCAAGTGTTAAATAAAAGTTATGTTAATATAGCACAGAATAGGTTTTACTTGCGGCCCGGTATAATATTCTTACTGAATTAAAATAAAAGGAATAATTATTATATGATTATAATCAGCGTCAGAAATTCACTTTTTTCTAGATATCAGTGTAGGTATGGATACTTTCTGTAAAAATTTGGAAATTTTCAAAAAAATTGGCTTTTTCATTTTTTCGTATTACCCTTTGAATAAAATTTAAAAAATAAAAAAGTCAATTTTTCTGAAAATTTACCAATTTTTTCGTTTTTTTTCCCGGAAAAAACAGTTTTTTCCGCCGGCTCAATTTTTCCGGAAATTTCAAAACCCTAGACAGGTGTCAGATTAGTAAAAAGTGACAGTTGTCTTAAGATCACTCATTTATTAAAAACTTGCCCCGCAATTAAAATAATAATATAATATTTTTTACAAGTTTAGTTTGTTTTATTCAATGTTGGCTCCATGGTGGCTAATTTAGGGTTTTTATTTGGCAACTAAACCTGAATTTGTAGATACAATTTTGTAATAAATAAATTTAGAAAAAATCATATACCTTAGGTATAATACCTATAACTTATAGGTATATGGAAAAAATATGTTGTTTACATTTTTCTTGCATGTTAATGTTTTAGACACTTTTCATTTCATTCTTTATATTTGCTTTAAAACAGGATATTTTATTTTATTGAAAACATTTCACTTTTAATTAAATGGCTTTAAAACAAAATATTTTATTTGAAAACCCATTATTTAAAACATTTAACCTAAAAACTAAAATTAAATTTTTTTTAGCACTCTTTTAAATTATTTTATTTGTTATTTTTAGTAAATATTATTTACCTACTTTTAAACAATATATTTTACTTGATTGAAAAACCATACAAAATAGTTTTTTTCATTAATAATATTTTATTGAAATGTTAGATAGTTTTTACTTGTGATCTTCAAATTATTCGACAATTTAATTTCAAATTTTTTATATTTATTTTTTAAAATCATTTAATTGTTTTCTTATTGGAATAGATAAAGTGTAGTATGATGATTTACATAACTAAACAATAAAAAAACTTGTTGGTTCAAAAAATATTAACCATTCTTTGTGCATAGGTAACATTTTACTTACATCTTCCAGAAACTTTTCTCGTTCTTTTATTGGCATCAAAATGGACGCTAATATCGTTACCAAATGATTTATTTGGTAGTTTGAAAACGGGGATTCCCCCACTGGGATTTCCTGTAATGGTAATTGGACGAAATTTGATGCCCAATTCCCTACACCTGAAGGACACCTAAATATAATAATGTGGTTAAAAAAGTTAAGTAAATGCTTATATCTTTTAAACTGGACAACATAAAAACCTGATTTTATCAACAAACATTCCAAATAAAATCCCTAGCTCAAATATTCCATAAGTTAGAGAAACTCACCTCAAAATATGATTCAAAATAAACAGATGGTCCTGATAGTTGGCAACCCTTAACAAAATCCCCACCAACCTCCCCAGCCACTCTCTAGTCTCCTTAAGAAACTTTTTATCCCTTATTAACTTCCTCTGGAACGAAAATAGCACGGAAATGCACAGCCGGAGTTCCCCAAGGTAGGGTTTCAGGTGCATTGGTTCAGCCTGCATTGTTAGAGCGACTTTAGCGTCTCTATTTAATTGCGTGACGTTCATACAATTAGTTATGACGCTTTGCAGGAATAACTCAATCTAAAATTACTTTATTTAATAAAAAAACACTTAAGTTATTGCAATTTCACCTGTAACTTTAAATCTTCAGCTGAATACGAGTACAAAACATGATTTTCATAAGTAAGCCTCTGTATATTCCCCAACAACCTAACTACAGTTTGAAAGACATTCCTGTGAAAAATACTCTTATTATAACTATGAGAAGCCGTTACAATAGCTCCATCTTGACATTCGGCTCTTCCAGTCACTTCAGCCGAATAAACACTCCACAGTTCACTCTGTAAATCCTTATACTCCTTTCTAAATTGCTGCAACTCCAAATTATTCCCAGTAATTTTCTCTCTTACATGCAAATAATTCATCAACAAGTCATACAAATGGTGGTGTTTTACAGCCAAACCCTTTAATTCGGCTTCTACATATTGATTTGTAAACTCTTCTAAAGTCAAAAGTTCCGTGTTTGTGTACAATGCCGCCAACTGTGGTTCAGTGTATGGTTTTATTTTCGGCAATTCCATTTTAGGGGCAACATGAGCAGCGTCGCATGTTATAGTGCTCATTATTTGTCGGTTAATGTTGATAAGTGAATCAAAATTTCTAGTTTCGTTGGTTTCTGAGAAAGTTAACTCATTTGCTTCTAAAATAATACAAAAAACTATTATTAGAAGTTTGTGTACCAATACCTATCATCAAATACTTCCCATTATATGAGGGGGTTCCCCTGAAGTATATAACCTTGAAAGCTATTTTATTATTATCTTACCCGTAGCCACAACATTATCATTTTGTTCCTTCTCAAGTTGCACTATACTTGGAACACATTCTTGGTCATCATTTTTATCAAAAACCTCCTCAGCACTACTGTAAACATTTTCTGCAGCTGCACAAGCAATTTTTAGTTCTTCTACAGCAGTTTTTGCAACATTATAATCTTCTTTTTTGCTATCAGTTACTTCAGGTTTATCACTTATCTCTTCTTTTGCATTGTCAACAATGGTTTCAGGGTGAGGAAAGTCATTTTTAGCACTTGTTTGTGCTTCTGTGTTATCAGGAACTTTAGATTTTTTCTTCTAAATCATTAAAAACAGATATTAAAAAAAATAGTACCATTAATCAAGCATGCTTACTTTAGGCTTTTGTTTCTCCTTGACAGCCTCCATGGCTATCTAGAGTCTAGATTCTAGACGAGCATTAATAACAATAAACAAACAACAACAATCAGCTGATTGCTGTTTATTTACAATTCTTTAAACATTAAATTAATGTTCGTGTTGTTACAAAATTAGTAAATAAACCACAGCCAATTTAAATCGCACTTTGAATGAGTAATTTATGACTGAATTATCAAAAAACGTAAATAAATATTTTTGACGTTAACGGGTTATTTAAACTACTTTTGGCATTTGTGCCAGTGTTGCCAATACACTAAAACGTTAAGCTTTTTTACTAAAAATTAGGTAACAAAATATATTATATACAAATAGGGTAGTAAAATAAAACTAATTTATAGGTATATTTACAAGTTTATATTAAAAAACTACAAATAAAATGTTTAATAACCTTTATTCTTTAACCAATACTTAATAGCATTAACAAAATCACCATTAATTCTAATAAAACCAGCAAACTCATTAACCTGCAGTCTAATTGGTTTATTGGATAAAGTTTGTAAAAACTCTGTAACCTCTTTCTCAAGTAACCAAATATCACCTTTAACGCGTCGAATAATAGTATGCCTCCTAATATTATGTTGTGCCAAATCTAAATACACTGGAATTAAATGATTTCTGGTTCTTTCAATATAATAAGGCCTGCTTTGCATATCGTCAGCTTGTGGCTGCCACCCCGATGGATATTCATCTTTTTTAACTGGTTCCGGGATTGTTTTTCGTGGTAAAATATTTTCCACGCATTTCCAGTCTACTGGGTCTTTAGTTACCTCGAATTTGGTGGAAACTTTGCCTAAATCTTCCAAGTATTCAGAACTGTAATAACCCCCATGCCTAATAATCTAAAATTATAAGAAAAATACCTTTAAAATTGTCAATTGGTGTGAAATACTGCTTACTTGTTTGGCGCGTAGGTTTATTTTTGATAAATTGTTTATAACGAGACGTAATTTTGTTGAAATTACGCTCATTTTGCCTAATTTTAGGTTATAAGAATAACCTTAAAATCTGACAGCTAAATCAATGTTGCCAACTGTAAAATCGTAATGTGTTTTCTAAACATCTATTTCAAAGTAAACAGTTAAAAACTACACAGAATAATATGGCCAAATAGCAGGAATTCGCTAACGGCCAAAACATTTTGAAGAAGAGGAAAGTAAACAGTTAAATTGCAGTTTTTTTATATTTGAGATGCTGCCATCTATTGGCCGTAGTTTACAACACTCGCAGTGGCCAACTTCGCCAACAAAAACAAAGAAAATTGTCAAGTTGTCACTCTGAAAGTCATGTCATTCAAATAAATCCAATAAGTTAATCTGTAACACGTATTGAATGATTAATTTACTAATATTATTAGTGAGCAATCAAATTCTAGTCAACAATTCCTCACAACAATGAGCAGAACATCGAAACAAGGTGAAGTATTACAGTGCCCGATCGTGTCGTCGACATTCGACCATTTCCACCGTCCTTTTATCACAAATTTCCCGTTAATACGTTGCAGAAAATCCTACAGAAGTCCGCTACCTAGCAACAGAGTGTCTACGGGAATGCCTGAGACTTCTCAAGCGCCCAGTAAACCCTTTTTGAGTGACATAACCTACAAATTATTTGAATGTTGTTTTCTGTTATAGATAATAGTTCCGGGGCTATATCAACAAGAATTGCTGTCGTATCGGTGGTGTTTATATTCTTGACGGCTCTGTCTAGTTTGTATTTGGTTTACAGTAATTTTCCGGAAGTTACAGAGTAATATTGCAGTGATAATCGGTGGGTGATGGGGTTAACTTTGTTGTGTTTTAGGGATGAAAAACAGCATATAAAGTTACCGTGGAATATAGAGCAAGCAAAACAGTTAGGAATAGTGTTGAATCGTTATAAGGCTGACCATTACTACCAAGTTATGTGTGGTGTTTTTGTCACATATATTTTGTATCCTTTTTTATGACTTTTTGGCATAATGCATACATTTTTACGACTACTTCCTTAATTTTATGCAGTCTACAAACTTTTGCCATCCCAGGATCGCTATTTTTATCAATTTTATCTGGTTACCTGTTCCCGTTCATGCTAGCTTTATCTCTGGTATGCACATGCTCAGCCTTGGGGGCCTCATTGTGTTTCCTGCTGTCACAACTGGTGGGTCGTAAACTCGTGCAAGCCTATTTCCCGGAGAAAGCCCGAAAATGGGCGGTGCAAGTGGACAAACACCGCGACAACCTATTTAACTATGTGGTGTTCCTACGAGTGACCCCCTTCCTGCCAAACTGGTTCATAAATCTGACTGCGCCGGTCATTGGCGTGCCGTTAGTGCCTTTCGCGATGGGGACGTTCTTCGGGGTGGCGCCACCGTCGTTTATCGCTATACAGGGTGGTCAAACTTTACACGACATGACTGCAAACGATACCGCTTTTAGTTTAAGTTCTTTTGCATGGTTGGCGGTATTTGGGGTGGTCTCGCTCATTCCTATTTTGTTTAAGGGGAAACTAAAGAATAAAATTGAATAAGTGCCAATTTTTATATGAATTAAGTTTTTTGTAATTGTGTTAAATTTTAGTCACTTTTAACATATTTGGCTCAATAAATTCCAACGCATTTATTATTATGTAATTTTTGTTATTTAATTTATAAAAAGTATAAACCAAGGTGCCTATTTATTTAGTTTGAATTATCACAAGATAATTAATTTAAACCTTGTATTCAAACAGTATTTCCTATTTTAATTTATAAATTACGTAAATTTGTTTGGTGTGTATTTTAATAATACTCACATTTTTTTTAATTGACAATGTAAAATTTATTTTTGTTTGTTGTTTTATTAAAATAACTATAAAAAAATATTTTTTTACTTCTTTTTGATTATTTACCTTAAGATGCACATGTCATAAGTCACAAAAGGAAAACTTTTCAGAAGAGACAAAAAACCAATTGGATTTTAAAAAAGATATTTATTTTTTATTACTGATTTTGTTGATGTACCTTTATGAAATGACATGTGCATCTTAAGGTAGGTATATATGTTGAATAAAACAGTTTCCTTTCATTTATATTTAATTATTTATATCATTTAAAATTGTCATAGACGCCCTAGATTTATGTGCGCCATATTGTTGATTTTCAATGTTTAATGAATCCATGTTTAATGAAAAAGGGTCCCCCCTTATGACATTTTTTCTGAAAATCAAGAAAAAAAAAGTTGCAAAAATAATTTTTCCTTACTAATTCGAGCACGCTGATTCCAAAAAATCAAACCGCACTTTCGTATCTCTTCCCGTTTCGAAGTTACACTTGAAAATCGCGATATTTTTGTCAAAAGGGTCCCCCCTTATGACATTTTTTCTGAAAATCAAGAAAAAAAAAGTTGCAAAAATAATTTTTCCTTACTAATTCGAGCACGCTGATTCCAAAAAATTAAACCGCACTTTCGTATCTCTTTCCGTTTCGAAGTTACACTTGAAAATCGCGATATTTTTGTCAAAAGGGTCCCCCCTTATGACATTTTTTCTGAAAATCAAGAAAAAAAAAGTTGCAAAAATAATTTTTCCTTACTAATTCGAGCACGCTGATTCCAAAAAATCAAACCGCACTTTCGTATCTCTTTCCGTTTCGAAGTTACACTTGAAAATCGCGATATTTTTGTCAAAAGGGTCCCCCCTTATGACATTTTTTCTGAAAATCAAGAAAAAAAAAAGTTGCAAAAATAATTTTTCCGTACTAATTCGAGCACGCTGATTCCAAAAAATCAAACCGCACTTTCGTATCTCTTCCCGTTTCGAAGTTACACTTGAAAATCGCGATATTTTTGTCAAAAGGGTCCCCCCTTATGACATTTTTTCTGAAAATCAAGAAAAAAAAAGTTGCAAAAATAATTTTTCCTTACTAATTCGAGCACGCTGATTCCAAAAAATCAAACCGCACTTTCGTATCTCTTTCGGTTTCGAAGTTACACTTGAAAATCGCGATATTTTTGTCAAAAGGGTCCCCCCTTATGACATTTTTTCTGAAAATCAAGAAAAAAAAAGTTGCAAAAATAATTTTTCCGTACTAATTCGAGCACGCTGATTCCAAAAAATCAAACCGCACTTTCGTATCTCTTCCCGTTTCGAAGTTACACTCGAAAATCGCGATATTTTTGTCAAAAGGGTCCCCCCTTATGACATTTTTTCTGAAAATCAAGAAAAAAAAAGTTGCAAAAATAATTTTTCCTTACTAATTCGAGCACGCTGATTCCAAAAAATCAAACCGCACTTTCGTATCTCTTTCCGTTTCGAAGTTACACTTGAAAATCGCGATATTTTTGTCAAAAGGGTCACCCCTTATGACATTTTTTCTGAAAATCAAGAAAAAAAAAGTTGCAAAAATAATTTTTCCTTACTAATTCGAGCACACTGATTCCAAAAAATCAAACCGCACTTTCGTATCTCTTTCCGTTTCGAAGTTACACTTGAAAATCGCGATATTTTTGTCAAAAGGGTCCCCCCTTATGACATTTTTTCTGAAAATCAAGAAAAAAAAGTTGCAAAAATAATTTTTGAAAATCGCGATATTTTTGTCAAAAGGGTCCCCCCTTATGACATTTTTTCTGAAAATCAAGAAAAAAAAAGTTGCAAAAATAATTTTTCCTTACTAATTCGAGCACACTGATTCCAAAAAATCAAACCGCACTTTCGTATCTCTTTCCGTTTCGAAGTTACACTTGAAAATCGCGATATTTTTGTCAAAAGGGTCCCCCCTTATGACATTTTTTCTGAAAATCAAGAAAAAAAAGTTGCAAAAATAATTTTTCCTTGCAAAAATAATTTTTCCTTACTAATTCGAGCACGCTGATTCCAAAAAATCAAACCGCACTTTCGTATCTCTTCCCGTTTCAAAGTTACACTTGAAAATCGCGATATTTTTGTCAAAAGGGTCCCCCCTTATGACATTTTTTCTGAAAATCAAGAAAAAAAAAGTTGCAAAAATAATTTTTCCGTACTAATTCGAGCACGCTGATTCCAAAAAATCAAACCGCACTTTCGTATCTCTTCCCGTTTCGAAGTTACACTCGAAAATCGCGATATTTTTGTCAAAAGGGTCCCCCCTTATGACATTTTTTCTGAAAATCAAGAAAAAAAAAGTTGCAAAAATAATTTTTCCTTACTAATTCGAGCACGCTGATTCCAAAAAATCAAACCGCACTTTCGTATCTCTTTCCGTTTCGAAGTTACACTTGAAAATCGCGATATTTTTGTCAAAAGGGTCACCCCTTATGACATTTTTTCTGAAAATCAAGAAAAAAAAAGTTGCAAAAATAATTTTTCCTTACTAATTCGAGCACACTGATTCCAAAAAATCAAACCGCACTTTCGTATCTCTTTCCGTTTCGAAGTTACACTTGAAAATCGCGATATTTTTGTCAAAAGGGTCCCCCCTTATGACATTTTTTCTGAAAATCAAGAAAAAAAAGTTGCAAAAATAATTTTTCCTTGCAAAAATAATTTTTCCTTACTAATTCGAGCACGCTGATTCCAAAAAATCAAACCGCACTTTCGTATCTCTTCCCGTTTCAAAGTTACACTTGAAAATCGCGATATTTTTGTCAAAAGGGTCCCCCCTTATGACATTTTTTCTGAAAATCAAGAAAAAAAAGTTGCAAAAATAATTTTTCCTTACTAATTCGAGCACGCTGATTTTAAAAAATCAAACCGCACTTTCGTATCTCTTTCCGTTTCGAAGTTACACTTGAAAATCGCGATATTTTTGTCAAAAGGGTCCCCCCTTATGACATTTTTTCTGAAAATCAAGAAAAAAAAAGTTGCAAAAATAATTTTTCCGTACTAATTCGAGCACGCTGATTCCAAAAAATCAAACCGCACTTTCGTATCTCTTCCCGTTTCGAAGTTACACTTGAAAATCGCGATATTTTTGTCAAAAGGGTCCCCCCTTATGACATTTTTTCTTAAAATCAAGAAAAAAAAAGTTGCAAAAATAATTTTTCCTTACTAATTCGAGCACGCTGATTCCAAACAATCAAACCGCACTTTCGTATCTCTTCCCGTTTCGAAGTTACACTTGAAAATCGCGATATTTTTGTCAAAAGGGTCCCCCCTTATAACATTTTTTCTTAAAATCAAGAAAAAAAAAGTTGCAAAAATAATTTTTCCTTACTAATTCGAGCACGCTGATTCCAAAAAATCAAACCGCACTTTCGTATCTCTTTCCGTTTCGAAGTTACACTTGAAAATCGCGATATTTTTGTCAAAAGGGTCCCCCCTTATAACATTATTTCTGAAAATCAAGAAAAAAAAAGTTGCAAAAATAATTTTTCCGTACTAATTCGAGCACGCTGATTCCAAAAAATCAAACCGCACTTTCGTATCTCTTCCCGTTTCGAAGTTACACTCGAAAATCGCGATATTTTTGTCAAAAGGGTCCCCCCTTATGACATTTTTTCTGAAAATCAAGAAAAAAAAAGTTGCAAAAATAATTTTTCCTTACTAATTCGAGCACGCTGATTCCAAAAAATCAAACCGCACTTTCGTATCTCTTTCCGTTTCGAAGTTACACTTGAAAATCGCGATATTTTTGTCAAAAGGGTCCCCCCTTATGACATTTTTTCTGAAAATCAAGAAAAAAAAGTTGCAAAAATAATTTTTCCTTACTAATTCGAGCACGCTGATTCCAAAAAATCAAACCGCACTTTCGTATCTCTTTCCGTTTCGAAGTTACACTTGAAAATCGCGATATTTTTGTCAAAAGGGTCCCCCCTTATGACATTTTTTCTGAAAATCAAGAAAAAAAAAGTTGCAAAAATAATTTTTCCTTACTAATTCGAGCACGCTGATTCCAAAAAATCAAACCGCACTTTCGTATCTCTTTCCGTTTCGAAGTTACACTTGAAAATCGCGATATTTTTGTCAAAAGGGTCCCCCCTTATGACATTTTTTCTGAAAATCAAGAAAAAAAAAGTTGCAAAAATAATTTTTCCTTACTAATTCGAGCACGCTGATTCCAAAAAATCAAACCGCACTTTCGTATCTCTTTCCGTTTCGAAGTTACACTTGAAAATCGCGATATTTTTGTCAAAAGGGTCCCCCCTTATGACATTTTTTCTGAAAATCAAGAAAAAAAAAGTTGCAAAAATAATTTTTCCTTACTAATTCGAGCACGCTGATTCCAAAAAATCAAACCGCACTTTCGTATCTCTTCCCGTTTCGAAGTTACACTTGAAAATCGCGATATTTTTGTCAAAAGGGTCCCCCCTTTTAATTTAAAAATAATTTTTTCTTACTAATTCGAGCACGCTGATTCCAAAAAATCAAACCGCACTTTCGTATCTCTTTCCGTTTCGAAGTTACACTTGAAAATCGCGATATTTTTGTCAAAAGGGTCCCCCCTTATGACATTTTTTCTGAAAATCAAGAAAAAAAAAGTTGCAAAAATAATTTTACCTTACTAATTCGAGCACGCTGATTCCAAAAAATCAAACCGCACTTTCGTATCTCTTTCCGTTTCGAAGTTACACTTGAAAATCGCGATATTTTTGTCAAAAGGGTCCCCCCTTATGACATTTTTTCTGAAAATCAAGAAAAAAAAAGTTGCAAAAATAATTTTTCCTTACTAACTCGAGCACGCTGATTCCAAAAAATCAAACCGCACTTTCGTAT